GTATGAAGTTTAACAACACATCCTTCACTTTGCACAACATGCATTTTCTAGCTTTTTCACATCAAATCACAACTTTTAGTGCATCGATTTCAGTATATGCGTATAAGAAGTTCACTATGTGCCAGCTTGTAGAAACAAAAGTTCCACTTTAAAATAAGCCATGACAGCGTTTGAGTTTTAAGCTTCCTCTGTCACTTAAATCTGTCAAATCCTTATGCAGTTTTCGAACTGGTATCAGTTTACAGTTCTGAATAAAACCTCCCCGTGAACTGTACAGGCATCATTGCATATTTTACTATTTCTGCTCCTATTTAACAATCATCTAATACTTATCTTTCCAGTGTCTTGCTATGTAGGCTCAACTCTCATGAAAATATAGAAAATATATCAATTTTTTTTGTAGTACTTCTTTTGTAGCTCTACAGAACATATTTGAAGTTCCTCTTTAAATAAAAACCCTAAAAGTCATCTCTGCGTATCAAAGTTACATATGTACAAGTTTTCCATGAAAACAATCCCTTTTTGTTGAAAAATGGCTTAGATTTTACTTTAAAGTACAGCTCGAGCACACCAGCTCCCCTACAGTTCTGCTCAAACGCTGTAAAACTACTCTACGATACACAGCAGCAAGTTGTAAGATTGGAATAATTCAACCATACATGTTTGAGCTGAAAAACCAAATCTCAAGAAGTTGCGTACTAAACTTAGGAAGGCTAAATCCTTGTTTTTTTAAGATGGTTTAGTTTCAAAGTGGAAATGCTCAGCCATGGCACTGACTGCTTATCTCACTCATGATACCTCCTAGCATATAAAAACACCATATGGGCATGTTGCCAAGGCAAAAAAATCCCCAAAAAACAACAACTTGATTCTTACCAGAAGAAGTCTTAGACACCATCTTTCTTTCTGAAACTAATAATTCTTCTTCATCTTGATTATTTTGATGGCCGTCATAGATTTTTTACTAGTGCAAATAAATTCTAAGACTAACAAATATTTTAAAACAGCAGGGAATACAGCAGGGTATAAAAAACATGATGTTTTGGAAATGTTGAGATGTTTTGAATCCCCAAATGCTTCAGTAGATGTGAACTGAATCTCTGCTCTTGCATCCCTGAAGAGAAAGCATCGAAAAAGAGTGTTTTCTTATCGAGATCAATAAAATACTAACTCAAATTCAACGCCCGTATTTTTGCAAGAAGAAACCCTTATATCTCCAAAATGTTAACTTTTCCAGATGAGAAAGTGGAAGAGAAAGTAAGCCTTGTGTGCTTTGGATGGTAGAATTTTCTCCACATGACAAAATAATCTTTCAATTAGAGCAAGTCAGTAAAACAGGAGGAGTGCTGTTTTCAAATAACAGTCCTGAGAAATCTGAACATAAATGTGTTATACAGCGTCATGAAATCTATTAAGTCATCTTTTTCCTTCCAGGGTAAAGAGCCAAGTGATCAGCACATCAAACAAGTTTGCATGCGAGTCATGCAAGGTAAGAAAAGATAGGCCTTTGACCCCATTTATCATTCCCTTGTGCCTCATTTCATGTCTTTAATATTTCCCAGAACGCCTCATTACACAACCACACATTGAGCCACCCCTCCATTGTCTCATTGATCTAAGCGTTTGCTGAATTCTCAGAAGTTCAGAAAAGGGAAGGTCTCATAACCAAAACATGAAAAAAGCTTCAGCCTTTGTTTATTTGATGGATGAAAGATTCTTTCTCTGAGCTTTAGAAATGTTTCACTGAAGTCGCAGCCTCTGTTCTCTTCATTCTTTTGCTCCTACGTCTTCACAACTCATCTCCTATACTCATGACTTTTTTATACCAGATGTGCTGAAAAATTAATTTCACCTCCAGCAGACCTGCGCTCCTCTGCTCCAAGCGAAGAGTCTGCCTGGAAAGGAAATCTTAAAAAAAAAAAGAGAAAAAAAAAGGAGCAATCAAGCAGCCGCCGCATGAATTTTCATCAGGAGCCAGAAAACTGGAAATTTAAGTGCAAAATACCATGCAGCAAAGAGCCACAGGAGATTAATATTACAGCCTTTGCACCATGAACATAAATTTTCGGTTACTGATTGCTTGAAATAAGGAGTACTATCCCCTTTTTGCTCAATTTGCCGTCTATGTAAAACGCTTGAAAAACAGGAGAGGCTCGATGGATATTGTGACCACAGTTTCACCTCGCTCAAGTTCATTGCTCAAGAGCTTCATTCTCAACTCAAATACAAGAGCTGTTGGACCATGTCTTCTCTGAGAATTGCTTTGGGCTTTCAGAAACGAGCCCTCTAATGCTCCAGCAGGATCCATTACAAAGTGTTATTTCTTAAGATGTCCCTTAATAACTATCAACTGCAGCTGTGAAGAAACAATCAGTGTCTTGATAGCAATTTTGCATCCAGTGATTCATCATCTTCTTTCTGTTGTGCTTCAAACAGAACAGCTGGCTCAGTTAGCTGCTAGTTTAAGGAGGCCAGAGTCTGGCATAGCAGGCTTACCTGGAAAACCTGGACCTCCAGGACCTCCTGGACCTCCAGGAGACAATGGCTTTACTGGGCAGGCTGGAGCGAGAGGCCTTCCAGGACTCAAAGGGCCACCGGGACAGTTGGGAATGAAAGGACCCAAAGGTAATGAATATGCTATCAGTCGGTGCTGCTGAGGGAGAAGTGAGAGAATAGACATTAAATGAAACAATGGTATATCTGTCTGCACTGTACAGAATTCATTTTACTATAAAATAAATGTTGCAGGTGAAATGGGAGACAGAGGGTCCAGAGGGCTCACTGTACGGGGACCTAAAGGTCAGCCAGGACCTCCTGGACTTCCTGGTGAGTATACTGTTCTTCTGTCTTAAAGGGCTGGCCCACATTTTTAAAGTCTATCTTAAATACACATTACATCATATGCACAGTGATTATTTCTCCATATTGCTCCTAAATAGATCCGTGATTGAGGATAATAGCCACACTGTGTTCATTTGGTACAGAATGCATTTAAAGCCAATTTGAGGCTCAAGTCACAAAGTATCAGAAAATCAACCAAAGTTATGATCTTTTTATTTGTCCACAACGAAGCAGAGAAGGAGAGGAGTTTCAATTCTAAAAAGACTTCACTTTAGATGATTTGGCTCCTGCTCAAGCCTCATATTAGCTTTAGCTGACTCATTTTACACAGACTGAGTATTGTTGATTTTTTCCCCTTCACTTTGCATAGAAAGCACATTTGATAGAGGATCTCCTGAAAGCCTGTACAGACTGGAATAGTGCAACCAAAAGCATTTTTATTGTGTATAATGGAATGTTGCTGTTGTATAAAGATAGACTTGAAAAATATGAGCATATGCTGTACTTAGAGTCCAGCCACTAACTACAGGGAATTTGTGATCACAGGGGAGCCAGGCAAACCTGGCTACGGTCAGGATGGTCGGGACGGGCAGAGGGGACCTCCTGGTGTTCCTGGACAGCCCGGCGTTCCTGGGCCTCCCGGTGCAGCTGGTCCTAATGGATACTGTGACCCATCAGCTTGCAACCTCCAGGCAGGGGCTGCCCACCAGTCTCTGGATGTGAAGGGACCAGCAGGGAACTAAGAGACACTCTGGCAGAGACAGAAAGACTGTTGGATTATCTCCCCTGAGCACACAACATTTTTCACACTTTCTTCCCAGGGGCTGTGGTTGGCGCGCTGCCTTTGATACATTAACCCCTAGTCTTGTGGGCATGTTTTGTGCCAGCCACATCTCCATCAGACGGAGCCAACCTCTTTGAGTCGTAAAATCACACAAAACCTTGTTTTTTTATGAGCTGCAACAATCTAGCTCGTTCCATTGTGTTTTTCTACCTGAAAGATGTTTTTATATATCCAGGATTGTGCTCACATTTCTATGATGATATGAAATGACCAAAAATGTTTGTTTATCCCACTCTCCTCCTTGTACCTCTGCCTGAATTTTCTATTTATGTTCTCCATTTATACTGTTTTCTTAAATAAAAGCTCTTATGTTTTCTCACACAACATCTCAAATAAGCATCCAAAGCAAATCAGGGTCAGGATTGTATTTGGTTAACGCACCTGTTTCAATTATTGTGTTGTGCTAAAATACCAAAGACAAACCTGCTGAAACTCCCCTTTTCAATGTAAATGTATTTACATGTCTGACTGCCTTTCCAGTTCTAAATAAAAAGGAGAGAGGATGAAGATGTCATCAAGTCACACTGACTTTAGTGTATGTTGTAAATCTGTAAAAAAAAAAAAATGTCTGTTATGTAGTTAATTATATTTCCTACAAAACCACCTGATGTGAGATTGTGCCTCATTGTACAGAATGACAACAGAGTGCAGCTTTGCATATATGGAAATATATTTTGGGGATGATGGAAACCCTCATTAATGCAACAAATAAATAAAATAACACACACAGTGTTTAATTTATTCTGTATGCGGGTATCGTTTTTGTGCTAATATAATGACGAGCTTTGCGCCTAAAATAAAGACTACAACATTCCAGGTGGCAAAGCATTCGTTAGCTTTTCTGCACCTTTCCATCATAACACCTGATCTTCTTCAGCTGGTGGAATTTGCTCAGTTTTAGATGTTCAAAATTCCCTTTTCTTCTCAGCACTAAAAACTTTTTTTGATATGATCAAAAGCTACAAAACAGCTACTCAATAGACGCTGCTGCTTGGAAGCACAAAGATATCACAGCTGATTAGTGTGTTTCAACCTGGTTTTATGCATACCTTTGATTTGTTATTAATTAACATCATTGCATTATAAAGGCTAATGGAATGCTTAAAGTCTCAGCTGACAACAAAACAACTTTGGTTGTGTGTTTTTTTCCCCCTCCATGCGATAACAGAAATTCTTAAAGGAGTTACTGCTGTTAATGAAAATCCAAAGTTCAACACACAGGAAACAGTAACAGTCAGCATGTTCTTAAGATTTAGTGTAAAAGAGCTGCAACCTAAGCTGTGTTTGTGCAGAAAATACAACACAACACCAGAAATAAAGCAGTGGATAACATTTATTGCACACGTGTAAGGCAGATGTCATAAATCAGTGTAAATAAGCTGCAAAGAAAAGTGTAAAATATAACCTCTGATACCTGGTAACCACACACACACACACACACTTGAGGGAACATTACGTCCCTTGTTATTTTTTTTTTAAATGAACACTTCACTGATGTCAACATCCAGGACTGCAATATGTGTTTTTTTTTACATACACATGAGGTTTTAAATTGCATTTTCAGTAAAAGGCAACAGTTGTTTTGATTTTTTTTCTCTCTCTCTCCGAGATATCTGATCATATAGACATGTGGTAAACCAAGACTGAGGTAGATATTCAACGAAACAAAAGACTTTCCAAAAAACAAACATTAAAGTCGCTCCGCACGACAGGAGCTTACAAAGGAGCAAAGAGCAGTTTCAGTGAGAGCAGCAGGCAGACATTTTTAATCTGAGGGACCGTGCTGAGGCTGATCCATATTCCCCCTCGTTACAAGCTTACTTACAAGATTAGATTATATGTGGCAACAAGATCAACTTACATTAGAGCACAAAAAAAAAGAGGCAACAATGAAATATTTGAATGAATGAAAGTGGTGTTATTGTTTGTAAGTGAATTTGCATTATTTGACAAGCCTGACTTAAGATAGATAACAGCATTTCCAAAGAATGCTTCGGCCGACAACAACTCCGTCCTTTGAGTTTGCCATCATTGCACATTTTTCCACTTAGAATAAATGGATTTTAAACTTGGAGCGATGTAAAATGGCTCCAAATTTCTAGTGAAGTGAGCTGTGACATCAGCAGCCATTTTGTGTCCTCCCTACTTATCATACTGTTAAGCTAAATTGAAGTCACAAACTGCTGCACATTAATATCAATTCAAGCTAAATTCGATACACGCAGGGACTCGCTCTCATCAGTGCACCAAAAAAAAAAAGAAAAAAAGTTTAGATCACATTAATTTGCTGATGCGGTCTTATGTGAATCTCGTCAAGGTCAGCGTTATTGTCTCTGATGGGAACCCATTAAACCAAATATGAAAATTAGTGTGATGAAAGGACAGAAGCCAGTGGAAGGAGGGGATTTTTATGTGGCCTATAAACCAAAGAAAGATTGTTTTCCATTCACATAACAAGCAATGTGAAAATAAATACATGTCCAGCAGGGGGCTCTTTTAACTCAAAAATGAAGTCGGTGGCAAGCATTTGATTCAATACCCATCTAAAATTAGACCAACTCACACTGATAGAATTTAGTAGAGATAAAAACCAAGCTGACATGCTCAGAAAAAAATGAAATAAATAAAAAGAAAAAGTATTCTGTAGCTTCTCAGAGGGTGAGTTATATGTGTATGAGAAGCATGACGACTATGATGTAAGACATGAAGTACAAAGTATAAAAAGGGTCAAACAGATCTCAAAAGTTGAAATGCAGATAGAACAGAGTTCTTAATGTCACAAAATTTCAGATACACCCACAGATCCTTTCAAACATTAATCACAGCAGGACTTTCAAAAGAAAAATTAAAGCCTTTGAGTCAAAATCTCATTAAACAGAGTTCAAAATGAAAGCTTGTGGAACGTAATATCGACTACAGGCCAATTATCGCTTTCTTTAAAAGTTCATTGTTTGGTATTATTATAGAGGTCAAGTTTTTTATTTATTTATTTTTTAAATGAAGAAATTATAAAACTTTTCAAAACAGGGAATTCATTTAAATCTGAAGCTTGAATGCTGGGAGCTTTAGTCATTCGGTAAATCTGCAGCATCCTTGAAAAGTGACACCAAACAGTTGGAGTTAATGAGATCACAAGTTCATCTTTTGTGCATAATATGTATAATGTGCCCTGTTTAGATAAAACTGACTCAAAAGCTTCTGAAATTAGTTGAGCACATTAAACATCGCTCAGACTAACAAATAAATCAAAACTCCAGTCTTAAGACACCCCCCGAACCCAACAATACACAGTGACGCACAGTGTTGGTCAGTGAGTGAAGAGCCAGGCTGTAGACCACGATACTGTTAAAACAACGCAAGAGTTCAAGTACATTTATGAGTATTTTCACCAAAATAAAAACGTCTGTCAGTTGTAGTGTAGTAGTCCGACTTCCTTTGCCGAAAACCAAAAATATACATATAAAACCAGAGGAATCATCATACACAACACTATGTAAACAATATATGTGTTAATAGTCATGTCAAACATTTGCAGCGATGTATGATTGATAACATGAGTGAGAACTTTAATGCGCCATTACAATGACAACTTGCTTATGAAATTATATTGTCAGGTCCCTTAACAAGCCCCATTAGTCAGGAAATGAGAAAAACAAAAAGTACACAACCACTTATTTACAGATTAAACCGACGGTAAAGGTAAATGAGGGGTCACGTCCCACTCGCTGAACATAAATGTCATTTAAAGTACATTCTCTTCATGTGGAAAAATCTGCCCTTGATGTTCGTGTCTTACAAATCGCTTCAGACAAACAGCATCAGCGAGTTTGTTTGTGGGTTACAAAAGCTTTGGCAAACCTCACTGATGAGTGCTCGGAAACCGGCACAGGACTTCGGGAAAATGGGAAGACATCCTCGTCAGTAACCGTTATACTGCGAGTTCTTTTTAAAAGTGATTATCGCACACAAATGCGTCATGAGTGACAATTTCAAGAAACTAAACTCTTTCGGGATTATAAGCAATCCAGAAATGTATTAATCCACTTTCTAGTAATAATATTACAGATTATTCATGCTACATTTAGTACAATTATTAGTACCATCTTTTAAATACATTCTTGAAGAACACACTTAAAATAAATAATTTCTGTATCAGACACATTGGCTTGCACTTTGGTTGCATAAGGAGATTCAAAAAAAAAAAATCTGTTATTTTCTCACACCTACACATAAAATAAGTACATTCAGTCTGCTAATCTCTTTCTTGCTCTATCTCTCGCACACACAAGCACACGCCAACTCGCACACAGAAACATGAGATGTACCTTCTGCCAGCACGATGGCTTATCTGAATAAAAACAGAAGAGTGCATAGACATGCCCATTAAAGAGCCAAACAAATAATTAAGATTGTGTTTTCAGGCAGGACTGAAGTTGACGAAACAAAGTCATTTCATGGTCTTGAAAGGCATATTGAGAGTTGACAAGGAATGCATTACATCACAGTAGGGGACATGAAAACAAGAAATAACTTAAAAAGTACAGCACTGCAAAAGGTTTTTTTTTTCTTTTTTTTCTTGTTGCATTCAAAACAAGCCCAACAGCAATCCCCACCGAAAAACAAAATCCCAGACGACTTCCAAATGTTATTATAAAGTAGACAAAAGGGGTCAGTTGTGAGTCTGACCGATAAATCAGAACCGAGGAAGCCTGTCAGATACAGTCCTGCTCCGGCTCTGTGGCTGCAGAGCTCGGAGCTGGACGGCCGTCTTCGAACCAGCCCGAACCGCTCTGCCGGACTTATAGGGACGGAAGACGACAGTCGCCGGGGTCGCATGTCCCAGGAGGTCCACGGGGCCCAGGAGAGCCAGGAGGGCCTTGAGAATGGATCCCAGGAGGGCCTTGACAGAGAATTAGATATTATTAATTCCTGCAAGAGGCTGCACTTTATCATCATTCAGAAGAGCTTTTCATTAGTGATAAAACTGTGGTTTGGCACACGCTCCCTCACACAAACACACACTTTCAGATTCTGGCAGCGCAGAGTTACAAAAGCCAGTCGTGGAAAGATGTATTGAAAACTTTTGACAAAACTTTAGTCAAAAGTGCATAGTCATATATGAGTGGTTTAAATCCCCCAAAAAACTGCAGCATAAAACCACTCTAGATATTTCTACTTGAGCAACACTGATATGTCAAGTTCCTATTGGCTGATAGCAGCTTACTGCAGGTATATCGCTATCAGTGTCGACGTCAGTGGACCAAGAAACTGCTGAACTAAGGAAAAGTAAAATGAATCTAAGGATCCGTATCAAGATTGTTTATTTAGGATATGTATTCATGTAAAAAAACACAAAAAACAAGAAAAGACAGCTGTGGCAAGTGTCCTTAGGAAAGACACTCAACCTGGAAAGTTGCTCCCGATGGTAGCTCTGCCACTGCTGGTGTGTGAGTGTGTATAAATGTGTGAATAAGAAACACTGCAAAACACTTGAAGAACCACTGAAGTAGAGAAATGTTATTTAACTACAGAGCATTTTACATTTATTGGCCCCTTTATTGTTTTTGGACCCCCAAAAAAATCAATGTCACCTTTGAAACTCCCGTATCAGCCAGGCTATGACTCCTACTGAAAAGTATTTTTAAAAAACCGAAATAAATTCTGTATTTATTTGATTAACTGATGAATGCATCAACAGAAAATGAATCAACAATTTAGACGTCTGCCACTTCTAGTTCTTGGATTTGCTGCCTTTCTGTCATTTCAAACTGAATTGTCTGGGTGGTCAAAACTTATAAAGTGCATATTTTCACTTTTTTTTTGGACATTTCACCGACTGAATCATTAATTTAAAAAAAAAAAAAAACACTTGACAGACTAATTAAAAAACGCAAATCAGTGTGAGTTGCAGCCTTTACAGTGTTATCATTTTAGAACATATTGTTGTTTAAATTAATAATTTAAAGCTATCTGTAATTAAGACAAAATTAGCTCTTCATTTTTATTTATTTCTTTTTTTTGAACTTTACAAATGGGAACAGCTTTTCTGATGTAACAGTGGAAATGCAGCGGACATCAATCAGACATTATACACTCTAAGTGGTTTTGTGTTGTTGCTGTGCCTGCGTGGGTTTTCTCTGGGTGCACCCGCTTCCTCCATCAGTCCAAAGTCATGCATGTTAAGTTAACAGGTTAATCTAAATTAGCAGTAGGTGCGAGTGCGAGTGCAAGCGTGCGTGGTTGTTTGCCTCTTTGTGCTAGCACGCTGATGAACTGGTGACCTGTTGGAGTTGTACCGAGTCGCTCCCCCTGTGTCTGCTTGGATAAGCTCCAGCCCCCCGGTGACCCTCGACAAGATAATGGAGGTATAGCTAATGGATGGATGGATGATTTAATACATGCTCTCTATATCTGCATTGGAAAAGCATGTATTATAAAGTGTATTTAATTTCCGTTTTCTACAGGGTCATTGTAATAACAACAAAAGAGAGCAAAAGTACATTTCTCTAATACGGTGTGGTCATCATGCCAGATGAGACACTCATGTTACTTAGCAACAGCTTGCTCAAGTGGCAAAGTGGTCCGCATTGCTTCGCAGTCTCTCTATGAAACACCGTTCATACGACAACAAAAGCAGCACCAGGTGATAACACATTGTTTCAAACCGATCTAAACAAACCTATAAGAAACCCTCGGCTGCAGTCCTGCCACAGGAGTGTCCATTACATCAGTCAGACCGGTCACAGCTCGATGGAGCCCTGCCTCCTCTCCAGTTTGTACAAAGGGAATTGCAGGTATTGCCTTGTCCTTTACCTCCCTGTGAAAACACAACTTGCCCTTTGCATCACATCCATCTCCTGCTTAACTGCTCACACACAAACTGTCCACAGCGCTGCGGCGGTGTGTGCTGACGATATCAGTGCACAGGAGGAATGGTCATGTATTCTAGTTTGTTAAATCTGTGTGTCCAGGCAAGTTTATGGCTACTTCCAGCTGCCAGCTTAACCTTCTTAATTAGCGATATCACAAAACCAATTACGCTACAGGTAGGAAAGACTTAGCAACAGCACCTTCACGTCTAATTAACACCAGAGCTCATCAGAATACAAATAGATGAGACAGAAAAAAGAAACTATGGTCACTTTCACTTAAATGACTTGTCTTTCTGACAACCAACAACACCGGTGCGGGAGCCTGCCACAAGGATTTTCATATTTTAATATTAAAACTGATAAGACTGAGTTGTGCAAATCTGCTGTGTCTGAATCACACATTCCAGTCTCACGAGTCTAAGGGGATCTTGTTCTGTGATGCAAGGATACGAGCTATCCTTCATTATGACGGCCAAGTGGCAGAAATATTAGTCGGTAAAAATAATCTCCCGTTGTACAGGGACTTGTAAATCTAAGTGCTCAGGGAAAACCAGAGCAGTGGGGCAGCATACTCATAGCAGTTTGTTCAAGTACTTTCCAACTCTTTCCAAGATGCGACGACAGCTTAAGGCTAACCCCCACCAGTTGTGCCGCAGGTGCTTCCTATAACTGCGCACCTCTAGAGATGATGTCTTCCAACAGCTGCGATCTATCCTCTCCGGAGGAGCTATAGCCAAGTTCCCTTTGCCCTAAACATGCATTATGCACATACACAGATAGGAAGAGTGACTGTAGGTTCAGTGATAAACTCCTACTGTCACAGGCTGGAAGTCAGTAAAGTAATCCCACTTCTCATTTTCCATCAGGATACGGGGAGTTATTTTTTCGTTCGAAAGAGCAGGGGACATGCTGACATCTTGGGCTGTGCTCCTTTGTTCAGGATAACACCAAGCAGGGATTTTAATTTACAGAGCGAACGTCATTTTCCATCACTGCAGAATTTTGTCCTCTATTGGGGTCCCATTTATGTCACAGCAGCTGCGGGGTTTTAGAAAACATAATGCAATCTGGGAGCGGTGTTTATCTCTAACATGCTGAGATATCAAATGAAGGCTGAAATAGAAATTCAGAGGGTTTGTGACTTGACACAACCCCGGAACACTTCCTTCCTTTCAATGGTCAGGTAAGAAAAATCTGATAAATAGTGGAAGACGCGGAGGAGGAAGGGCTGTCAATGCAGTGCCTGGTCATTCTGTATAATCGAAGCATTAGTAGTTCCACTGCCAGAATTGCTCTTACAGCACAAATCAGCCACAACATTAAAACCACCTGCCGAATACTGCGTTGGTTATCCTCATGCGGCCAAAACAGCTCTGACCCGCTGAGACATGGACTCCACAAGACCTCTGAAGGTGTCTTGGTGTCAAAACATTCACAGCAAATCCCTTAAGTCCTATAAGTTGTAAGGTGGGGCCTCCGTGGATCGGACTTGTTTTCCCAGCACGGCCCACAGATGCTTGATCGGATTCACATCTGGGGAATTTGGAGGCCAAGTCAACACCTTGAACTCGTTGCCATGTTCAAACCATGAGTGATTTTTGCAGTGTGACAGGGTGCATTAATTCTGCGGACAGAGGCCATTGCCATCAGGGAAAACGACTGCCACAATACAATAATGTTTAGGTAGGCGGTATGTATCAAAGTAACATCCACATGAATGTCAGGGTCCAAGGTTTCCTAGCAGAACATTGCCCAGAGCATCACACTGCCTCCACTGGCTCGCCTTCTTCCCATAGTGCCTCCTGCTGCCATCTGCTACCCTGGTAAACGGCATGCATGCACCCAGCTGTCCACATGATGTAAAGGAAACGTCACTTTTGTCTGTTGCTCCATGGTGTACTACTAAGAATATGGTGCCTACTGTAGTACAAGGGTTAGCATGGGCACTAGAGCCACATGGGTCAGCCTTTGCTCCCCATGCACATCAGTGAGCCTTGATTTACCAGCTTTCTTGGACCACTTTAGGTAGGTACTAACCACAACATACAGGATCAACCCAGTAAGACCTGCTGCTTTGGAAATGCTCCGACCCAAGCGTTTCACTAATCATAATTTGGCCTTTGTCAGATTTACTCAGATCCTTGCACTTGGACATTGTTCTTGCTTCCATCACACCAACTGTAAGAACTGACTGTTCACTTGCTGCCTGATACATCCCATCCCTTTACAAGTGACACTTTAACAAGACAATCAATGTCATTCACCTCACCACTCAGTGGTTTTAATGTTGTGGCTGATCAGTGGGTAATGGCACAATTAGTGCACTTCCTTCCATTTTACTGGTCTGATGGTTTTTGAGTGTTTAAAGGTGGAGTCTGTGATGCTGAAGAAAGACTGTTGATATTTCCCTTGTTAGATAGTTAGCATGTGCCAGATTTACCATCTCTCTTGCTACCACAAACTAATTACATTAAACTACAAGACCTCCAGTGTTCTTACCTGGTGGGCCCGTGGGTCCTGGATCTCCTGGTAACCCATACCCCAGCTGGCCTCGTTCTCCTTTCTGACCTCTGTATCCTGAGGACACACAAAACACTGTGGCTGAGAACAAATACTGCGAAGGTGAAGCAGAACCGTGTGGTGTCGCGTTTACAGCATGTAGTAGAGTTAGTACGATTAGTACAAATGCCATAACATGTTAAAATCTGAGGAATGTCATGATGAAAACACACTTGTGCAACCTTTATATTTGTCCAGGGACTCATACAGAACAGCTTCTTGATGATATAAATATCACCAGTACGACAACAATGTCAGGCATCAAGTATGCGCTTATTTTGAGGGAAGTAGCTTTAGTCGGTAATGTTGGAATAGACTACTCTTGATTCCTAGTTTCAGTCCCAAACCTTTGAATAATAAAAGACGTACTGACATTCTGTCAGAATAGAAATCATCAAACAAGCCATCTGTACGTTAGTGTTTGAAGCAGGAGGTATCGTGGACTTGTACAGCTTTCTGTCAACAACAGGGCCACAAGCACAGATCTTTGAAGATTTCAAAACAGACTGAAGAGGGGATTTTCAATCAGAGTTCAGATATGTGGGTCACTAAAGGCATTCAGAGAGTGAAAAAGATAGGCCTAATCAAAGGCGGACTCTAGAGAAAGGTTGATTGTATAGAAAACAAAGTGATTCACCAAACAATCACAGCTATTCATGACAGCTAGACTCTGACGCTCATGTTAAAATTCTGTTCAGTCTTTTCTATGATGGAAACTGACCACAGCATGATTACCTCTAAGAAGAAACAGGCAGTGATGAACACGAGCACATGCTTAGTCTGACATTAAAAAAAAAAGAAGAAAAGGCTGACACGTGAAAACAAAGAAATCAAAGCATTGACACCAAAATTCAAGTCATATCGAGCAATGCGTTGCTTATGAAAATATGCACACATTCGTAGTATTTAAAGGCTTTTTCAATACATGCAAAGCCGGCAAGTCTTTACAGTTCAAAACAGCAGCATACCAAGTGAGAATTTGAGGGGCTGCAAAAATATTTCCCCATGAGGCACTTAGAGTAATGGAGTCTCACAACCAGCGCTTGCATGGAGTGCATCAGAAACACTGACAGGAGTATCAAGCATTGCACTGCCTGGCCCAAAGGGGAAACGCTTCAACGCTTACATGTCAGACAAAATCTCAGAAAAAAGGCTTATGAATGCTCCAAAACTGAATCTGAAAGAGAGAGGGGCTATCCACACATTGCCACAATAATGAGACTTCTTTCAACACTCACAGAGCCTGGGGCATTCATTCAGGGAGGAGACGTTCCATGGAGAAAAGTGCACTGTACCTTAAGCGAAAAAAAAATACTGAATAGCACAAAGGGCAATAAGCTTGGGTGGCACGCTGGATTGGTGCACTCTGATAAATTGAAAATGCCACACTGCGTACTTGGTGGAAAACAAATTGTTTCTGGGGGCACTAATGGACAAAGTACGTTAACAAAAAATAATATTGCCAAAGAGCGGTTTTTCATGCTTGATTGATAGGGTTGCAGTCCTGCACCTGTTGTACACTGTTGTAAACATTGTCAACAGCAACATCTATGTAATCATGCTAAGCCTCACAAACAAACAAACAAATAAACAAACAAACAAAACCTTTCTTTGGGCAGCTGCTCCATCAAATACTCTGGATATTTACTGAGCAGAGAAGAGCAGCTCGAAAAACAGAGTTTACAGTCTAGTATATTAGAAGACACTTGGTTTAAGTCAGTATTAATAGATACACAGAGTACATGGAAATACAAAATTAAAAATGCATGTTAAAACATCAAAATGTAGAATTTATGAAATGTGCACTCAAAAACATTGACTTACATCAGAGAGAAATGTCATTAGGATCTAAGAAGTAAAAGATGAATAGAATGATAAACGAGCACTCAGTTACAACAAAGGAGGAAATAAAAAGAAATGATGCTCTTCAGCTTGTGTCCTTATGGGCATTCTCCAACAGCTTGAGACTTTCACCCATGTGAGATCAAACCACGAGGAACAAAAAAAAAAGACTGCAAATTCAACAAAGGGGTTATTTTTCTCCATAAACAATTCATTTTGGCATATTGGAGAAGAAGTCAAATTGGATATTCCAGAGGAGCACAGTCTCCAGCGGAGGATGACGAGAAATAATGAGGAAATATTACCCCAAACTCTCTCACCAGCTGAGTGGAGGCACAAGTCAACAAAGAAAAAATTAAGAAGTTGTTGAATTTTTGATTTATCAAGGGAAATAAGTTTCCTCTTTATTTTTCAAATAAATATTTATTGCAAAGCTGCATTAAGAATCACCTATAAAACACTCTTTTGAAGCATAAAAAAATAAAACAAGCAAAAAAACAAAATCCAAGACATGTGTAATGCAAATAGCATTAACACCGCACAAATATTTAACGTTGAGTAGTTGCCTATACTTTAGCTACATTATTCATGAATGAAAGCAGCATTTTATATCATAGCAGTGGGGTAAAATGTAAATGGTCTTGAATAATGTGAGGTAGATACAAAGCTCAAAGAGAAAGGCCAATGCAGTGGTGCTTTGATGTGCACCAACACATAAAACACTCCTTCTCTTCAAAAGTTAAGATACCATAGTTCTGCTGCGGACACAATACAAATCTAAGCAAGTCTGAGGTACAAAGCCTGACCAGCAAACCATTAGTGTTGTATGAGCAGTCAGAGAGTTGTATTAGTTTGATAAAGAATGTCCACCCTCTTTCCTGACTACGCTCCTTTTGTATTTTAGAGGCTTTCTTTCCCGGAGTGAGGTATCAATACTGGGGCTCTTTCCTGTCCACATTGATAACACTTTCTCTTATTCACAGCCAATTCTTCGTTTGTCTTCATATTTCCCAGAGAGCCGCTGTGCACCACACTCCTGGCCTTTCCTCTGCTTCCCGCCCTCAGTCTGCATTGATATATGGGTCTATGCAAGAGAAAAATACCCATGAATCCGTACAAAATGTAAGAATCAGCCTGACCCCAAATCCAGCCAACCTCCAGTATTTCATATCAACTCCGTAAATAACAAGAAACAAGTTTGACTGAGTTGTTGACATGAGATGTCAGAAAAACAGTTTGCATTGCCCAGTAGTCCCTGTTATAAATATAGTAGGTTACACATATGGTACAGTACAACATACAGTATGCCAGTTGGACTGACTCGTATATTTAAAGCACCGATGAAGCATACACATATGACGTGTGTACATACATAGATAAACATTCAGTTAAATCAGACAACAAATGGTTAATCGTGTTTCACCAACACTTTTGAGCAATCGAATGTTAAGAGCATTGCTTCTCGGTCACATTTTAACCGAGGTGGTTATTATTCTGAGGTTGTTTTAACGTCCAGCAGTTTCACCTGCCATCCTGAGCTCCTACCTTGAGGACCAGGAGGTCCGGGCTCGCCAGGTGGGCCTGGTAATCCATCTTTTCCAGGTGGTCCTGGAGGCCCTTGAACGTTGGAAGCTAAAATGCCCGCAGGTGTCTTCTGCAGCATGGCGGGGTTCGATAGTTTCTCTAGACAGCAGGAAGAAGAAGAAGAAAAAAAGAAATCGTGGAAACTGCTAAGTGGTAACACAATGTAGAAAAAAATGAAGATGAAAACAAAAAGCAAAACAAAACAATGTAAACTAAAATCAGAACAATTTGTACCTTCAAAAATCCTCAACACTTCATTTCGAATAAACATTCTGAGTTCCTCTGTGAAGCCGGGATCACCCTGTATGTGTGAAGGGAATGAGACAGTATTCAGTGAAGCATTTTAACACCAAAAAGACAGACAATGCAATTAAGACACAACAGCAACGGAGCCTTTGTTCACAGTTAACTGGCAGCAGAGTAGATGCAGTAAAGAGGATAGTTATCACAGCATGAAAATTAAGTGAATATCTGTCATGTATCTCATATCAAAAACATCTTCTCAACAGATTGATGAAACCACACATGTTAAAAACAGAGAAGATATTAACCCATTAACTCATTTTTAAGCGCCTTAATAATTTTTCACCGGAATCCCACCTTGCTTTGCATATAAAATCTGCATCCAAACTAAACTAGAAATAAAAGAGATTCATTAGGGAAGTAATAAAAGGAAGTCATCTTTAAATCAGTTTTGCCTCATGCTCAGTACTGTGCTCTGTGCTCAAGAAGAAAATGTAGCTTGTCACACCGGCTCTGCATGACACTATGTGGCAAAACAAATCAAGAAAACACAAAGATTAAGTGTATACATTTCCAGTACATACTCACAAATAACATGCCAGCATACTGAAAATAGTCATGTGCACCTTTTTGAACTGCACCGCGAGAGCTTCCCAGGGCTGCACTAGGAAATATGGCAAACAATAGTAGCCTTGGACCTTGAATTCTTGCATTCAAAACAATGTTTCATCTCTGCGAGCGTTATATAACTGTTGTGGCTGTGTACAGTAAGTGTAAAATGTCTGTGACAGATGGAGGTGTTTTTTTTTACTGCTCTGCAGAGCTCTAGGCACGCCCACATATCTCTGTCTTTCTTTCTGTTTCCGTCTCTCTCCCTCTCTGACCTTCTGTTGCGCCTAGATGATCAGGAGTGGGAAGCGTTGAGCAGAAAGAGAACAGCGAGCTCCCTTGCACAGCCTTGTTTGATGTTTCATGCAGAAAGCTGTAGCTGCACCATTTTCCATACAGGGAATGAGAACTGAACTAGTTACACAAGCTGAGGAAGCAAGTTCGACGATAAAGGTTTTAATTATCAGGGAGGACAGTGTTTGTTTACTCTGCGGTATGTACAAATGCACAACTTACCAGGAGGCTAACACTCCCCAACTGTCCTGGAGGTCCAGGATCGCCTTTTTGACCCTGTGGACCGATCGGTCCTATTGGGCCAGAATCTCCAATGCGACCCCTCTCGCCTTGAACACCTCTTTCTCCAGGAATCCCTGGATCACCCTGATTAAAGATACCCATATTTACTGTATATCTCAGCCCCATATGTTACACAAAGAAAAAACTGCGTATGTGCTTAGCTTCAGTATAACATTCAAAGCCACCTTCCCTGGCTAGCATAAGGCTGCATCAATGTCAGTATAATTTCCAGGCGTAACTGTATCGCCTAATGTGTTATGCACAAAGACCCATTTCTCTTTGTGTGTCCAGTCAGTCACCTGTCCTGGGGTTCTGTAGCTAACTACAAAGCTAAAAGCCTCATTCTGCATCCTCTATTACCAGCCTTTGCAATAGATTACTGCATAAGTGTGACAGAGCTCTTGCAAATACAATAGGAAACTGCGCAGAGTGTTAAATGCCTTTATCTAGCGCTTATGTGCTCGTGGGGATTAGTCATATTTATGCTGAAGTGAAAGACTTTCATTACAATTCATTACTATTCATCAAAACTTTTCTGTTCTTTTTTTTTTTTTCAAATTATAGTTTGAAACATAAAAACAAGACAGGAACGATGCTACTTACACGTTCTCCTTTGGATCCTCTGTCCCCTGGTCTACCTGTAGCTCCCTTGGATGAAAAGGAGAACATGTATTTTAAGTCTTTGTTAGGGATTAGCATTTGAATAACAACAAAACAAAAATATTTCTGACCCTGAAGCTTTTTACTCGCTAAACACAAAGTATTGATGTTCAGTAACACGCAGGGACACGCATAAAACACTGGTAGTCGAACCTGCTCGTATGAAGCAAAGATTTAAATTCAACATATTTAACCAAATATTTGCTAAAGATTGTTCTGTTGCCTGAAGAAAAGAAATAAAAAACTGTGAGCAAGCTTTTTTCTGAATGACTTGACTTTGAAGAATGTACACTTTTCAGATGACTATGCATTGATTGCCTTTACTCAGCTCAGGTGTATTGCTTGTATAATATCTCCCTGTATAGCGTTTCACCTTCTGCAATGTCACGGCTCCTCTGCATCACTCCTGCTTTGTTTGACAAACGCCTGCTTTCCCACCAGCTGTCTCTACTGTACACAGGATGCAGGAGAAAATACCTGTCTCTGGCTTCATGTCACAACATCTTGTGTCTTCCAATCCCTCCCTGTCACTCTTCATTGCTTCCCTTTACTCCACTCACAGCAATACCTCTGGGAGCATCTTTGTATCAATTTCCTGCTGGATTACAGGAGCCATGCAAAAGACAATCTGGCATGATGTGGTTTTAAAGCGGGCATTGCTTTGTGATGCTGTTCTCCCCTGCCTGCTTTAATCTGCAGTACTCTGTATTCCCCACTGCCTGATGGGAGGCTTAAATCTATCATCTTGCCCACTGAAATGTGCTTCCCTGAGCATTACATTAAACCTCAAAGCAGTGTGCAAGAAATCTGCGTAGGGGAGCAAAGCTACCTGCTAGATGGCACTGTTGCCCCACCAAAAAGTGAGGCTCTGTGTTGAAAAGCTATGTGCAATGCTGAGGTTAAGGTGGAAGAATATTAACTATTAATAAGAAAGGGGCGAAAAAAAAACAACTAAGTGTTGGGGCTGTCATTAAAGTGTACGGTGAAAAATCTTGTAAATTGAAGCAAAACAGTAATAATCATAGTCCATTCAGTTTGTGTATTAGATCATGTAACGTGTTAGGAATGGCTGTTCAAGCAGAACTGCTCTGCATCCAGTGAGACCATTCTGTGTGATTATGTAGTAAATAGTGTATAATATATATGATCAGTCACCTAAAAGCAGACTTTTCGGTGGTATTTATTTCAATTTTAGCCAGGTTCATCAGGCAGCAAAATGCATATTTAATTTGAAGTGTCTACTGCCCTCTATTACAAACATTTTATCATTGCCTGAAAGCATTAACTGTATAATTAGGGTAAAAAGACTAAAAGTCAACAAAGCCTTAAATCTGCAGGATTCCATTTAGTTTTTATCGTTAAGATCTCAAATATGCAAATAGGTTTAATGCAGTCAGCATGCTGTAGCTTGAGGGGGGATAAAAATCTGCTGTGCCATCTTTCTGTAGCTTGGCGGATGTAAAGCACTTTCTATAAGGGGATTTGCAACATGTTCGCACAACTCACCTTGTATCCAGGAGTTCCATCTTTTCCAGGTCTGCCCTGCTCAAGAAGCGCAACACAAACAAAGACATTTTGTATCAGCTCCCACCTTCGATTGGATCAGCACTGTTGCACTCCTAGTAATCTCCACAGTTAATGAGATATCTCAACCAAGGGATAATGATCCTGATTGCTGTGCGAACACTGTTCCATTGTGCACTTACAGGGAAAATTACAGAAGCCATCTCTGATGGTAATTATGTAGAGGAATGTAATCATCCACAGGACAAGTGGTATCTAACATACGTATTTTATCCATATTGTCCTTGAATCATGTTCCTATTTTTCCCCACACACCATGATGGTGGAACAACCAAGGGTCTGCTCATGCAGATGAGCGGCGGGTTCTTCAAAGCCCTACTTCTAGCATGGACATTATTGGAAGGTGCTTTGGCAACATCTAGTAGTGATTATAAAAGGAAGAGCGACAGAATTCATGTAACATCCTTACAGCAACACCTTGGGGTCCCTCGGGCCCAGGGAATCCTGTCTCTCCGAGCGGCCCCCTCTCACCCTGTCAGAGAACAGAGACAGCCAATGTGTCAGTCGGGAGTGACAAAGGAATGACGCGTGGATTGACAGCTCAAAGAGAGTTAGAGGCTGCGGCTCACCGGCTCTCCTGGGATCCCTGGCTCTCCACGAGTGCCGGGCTTCCCCTGTCAATCACAAACACGGGAAGAGAACAGAAAGTGTTTGACAGGTCCTCAATAGTGTCATATCTACAGCACCTTTGCAGCCTCCCCTTTTAAAACATAGCTACCAGCCTCCTATATCTGCACAGAAAATCCACTCAGCAGACTACCAGCCTATAGAGTTCTTAATTGAAGTGGTGTAATGGACTTGCAGCGCAGGGGGACTTGTGTTCTGAAAGCTGCTGTTCTGTATACTTAACGAAACATGATTGACTTGTTGCCAGCAGCAGACTGAAACAACACAGATGATTGATCAAGCAGAAGCATGAGGTAAATTAATCGAAAGCAAAAAAAAAAAAAAAACCTTACTTACTGGAGGACCTGATATCCCAGGTGGACCAGGCAAACCGATATCACCCTGGAAACACAACACATCAGGTAGATGACATGCACATTACATAAAGAAAACTATAAATCACTGTCATGTCAAGCAGACATGTAGATAGTGATGTCATAAACTGTCTAAGCCTGGCTGTAATGAATCCTGCTGGGTTATTCACTCTTTGGGCAAATGCAATGCAAAAAAAAGCTCAGATATTTAAAAACACTATAAATTTCTACTCAGACAAAATAAAAAAAAAAAAAAATCACACATATAGATTTATTATAAGCAGCCTCTTTAAAAACTTAGGTCTTCTTCATATTTCAACAGCAAACACTTTGCATATGTCAAAGCTCTGACAGTATTCCCTGAAAGGATAAATTACTCCGCATGTCATAGAAAGTGAAATATTCCACCCCCACCAAACTTCCACACAACATGCAGTCACACACTGCCAATCAGTGGAAACTTTTTCATACAAATTCAAATGCAGGAAAGTGTGAAAAGTTGGATGCAGGGCTAGTTGTGCTCAGTTAAGGGAAGTGTATTTAATACTTTCAGCTCATTGTTCAGACAGCTAACTACCACACCCGCTGTATTGTGTGCAGTTCATGAATTTTAACCTGAATTTCCTTCAGTCAATGTTTAAAAAGAAAGAAAGAAAGAAAAAGGTATTGAATTCTTCTAAACATATTTATTTTCTCTGGAGTTGAACTTCAATGGGAACCAATAATGCGTTTAACTCTCACACTGCAGTGCGTGTAGAAAAGCTCTTTATATGTTCTGTAAGCGCTTTTCTTCCCTTTGCAATCACAACAACTCATTGCAGATGAGAACTTTCTCCAGTCTGATACTGTTGCTTACCTTAGCACCGGGTAGACCTTCAAGCCCAGGTAATCCCATGGCCCCTGGTTCTCCCTGTGAGAGAAAAACACACCACCTGTTGTGTCAAGACACACACACACAAAAATCACTCCTGATATAGACTAAGAGGTCTTACTCCCCCCCTTTTTTTTTTGCAAGCGAGAATGATGCTATTTTTGTCTCGGCTGAGATAAGCTACTGGAAGGTAACAGGTATCATTATAAAGCTGTCAGTAAGAATCATGCATAAACAAGCGAATATAGATCAAAGCTACATGAAGGTGAGTAAATGAAATTCTGCAGGAGCCCCACATTTCTATCTCTCCTCTTGATATTCTCGGTCAGGTATTCATAAAGCCTGTTATGTGTCAATATGAGGATAATCTTGAGAGGACAATATTGCAAATGATCTATGACACATGCTGTCATGCCTTGCAGGCTACAGATCCATTAGAAAAAAAGGCCCCATTTGGCTATTACAATCAGACTTGTTTTCTGCACTAAAAATAGAGAGCTATTCCCAATGCTCAGGCAAGTGATGTCCTCTATCTACCTCATCTTGCTCAAGCTGCCACGGAGAAATGCCATTACACAGAGTAGAGGGGCAACCGGTGCTGACACAGACGGATTGTCCAGGTAATTGTCACACATGTAGATTGTCATGAATAAGCTATTGAGGCTAAGGGGAGAGTGGGCCAGCCAGAGGATCAGCTGTGAGACGGATTGGGGCAATTCCACCGCAGCACCGGGGCTGCTCACGCAATTTATTAAAATGTCAAATTAACATCCTGGTGAAAAATCACTGTGCAACAAAACAATAAAAAATGCAATTGGCCCCATGAGAATAAGGAATTCAAGTTGATGGCAGAAATGTCAAGTTGTTTCCGCGTCTGTGTGGATTGTGTTCAGGTGTCAGTGCAGGGGGTGGGGGAAGGGCATTTGAAGTGCAGAGAGGGTTTGTGGGATCCCACCGGCAAGACAACGTGGTACAAAGGTTTCATATTTGTAGGAGACATGATCATTTTATTGCTGTGTGTTGGAGTTCTACTGAGAGTGGTTAAGCGCTCAGGCTTGAGGGTGTATTGACTTTTGCTGTACAGTAGAAAACCGCAGAGATAATGATAGAAAGGCAACTGGCAACTCTGACTTCACTGTTTGTGTGAGCAGTACAAAAATAGGCAAATGCCTCAAAAAATATATTCAGGAATGAAAAGGCTCAACTCACTGCAAGTCCATCATCTCCTTTGGGACCCTTAAAAGAGAGAGAAAAAAAGCGGACAGATTACCCCCATGAATGTGACAACTGCTACCATAAAAATCATAAATTTAGTCTGAAATGACATGTGGCTACTGTATGCTATTGTCATTAAAATTTATAATATCCATTATTGCTTGTCTTTTCTGGCAATTTCTGTCTGTAAATCAAGCAAACATTGTAACCGTGTCTCAAGCAAGATTAAAATGATCAATGTTACATAATCAAGTAGGGTTTTCGTATAGGCTTTACAAAAACAGGTCATCCATCCATCCTTTATCTATACACTGCTTAATCCTCACTAGAGTCGCGGAGGGGCTGGAGTCTATCCCAGCTGACTTAGGGTGAAGGCAGGGGACACCCTGGACAGGTCGCCAGCCTATCACAGGGCTACACTAAGAGACAGACAACCAATCACACTCACATTCACACCTACAGATAATTTAGAATCACAAAAACAGGCCATGCATGTTTAAATTTCAGTAAAGCATTTTTCCACGTTAAAAAAACAAGCAGCTATTGATGAATTGGGTCCCTTGTCCCTCTTAACACTGATGAAGATGCTCTCTTATTGAGCTGGGCTGTGATGGATGCAGTACAGGGGGAAGCATCTTCAAGATTTAGCTATGGTTCATGTGCATTGTGCACTGGGGACAGCAGAGTGTCTACTTTTTGTCACCACCTTAAGTGTTCGTTTTGGTGGATGGATCCCTGCGGGGCCTGTGACTGAATGTCTCCCAGGATTGGACGAGATTACAAACTGTCTGATAAGGAGGAGCAGGGGGAACCGATAAGCAAATCGGGTCACTATGGCTTGGCGCTGCGAAGAGCAGCTGAACTTCCATTTTGCATATCAGTGATGTTGTGTGTCCTGGGGTGGATCAGAGGCACCTGTTTGAGAGTCTGGAAGCCTCTTGGCTTTCACCAACCACCAGCTCTCAATGAGCATGATTGACTGTGATATAAGGGTCTCAGAAGCCAAGACAGCACTGGAGGGCTGGTCAGCTTATTTGTTATTCAACTCTCCCAGCTTCTGCAACTCATACAGCATCAACATGCTTGTTTGCTCGTGTTCCTCCACAGCACACTGTAAAGGATTTGCTTCAGGCATAACAATGATTATACTTACTGGAGCACCAGGAGCTCCAGGGGGTCCTAAAATAGCTCCACCACTCTGAAAAGACATTTTTTATGTTATGACTACATGTTTCACAATATGGGTCAAACACATTTTAATGACAAGCACAGATTCATTTCTGCCAGTATAACTGAAGGCAGTCAGTGGATCTCCATGACATTACATGTGAAAAGTCTTTACCTGCAGCTTGTACAGACTGCTCATCCCATTGCTCTCCAGACTGGGCACACCCTAAAACACAATAAACAGTAAATCTTCTCTCAGAAACTGTCCTCAGTGCCAGTATGAATTTCAGGCACCGCGAGTCCTCATAGAAAACTGTACAGTAGGTCTGGAACAGTTATACACAGTTAAGCCCTTAAAAGCTACATGAGAGAGATCAATAGCTCATTTGGTGATTACACAGAGAGAGGGTAAGAGAGTGCGAGAGACTGAGAAGTGAAAAGAACCAAAAAATAGAGAACAGTAGACTTAATAACCCTTGAGCCAGTTGTAATTCAAAAAAAAAAAAAAAAAAAAAAGAACGAGAGTGCTTCAGAAATACAAAAAAGCACAGTGATTAAAAAAGATTTGGGTATGAGAACTAGGTAATCTAGACTTCTTGGGTAGCATTAGAACATAAAAGAATGTTTTCCCCATGATAGATTGGTAGAGGGCAGCTATTGTAAACGTAGAAGGAGTCAAGGTTCTCATTTAGAAGCAAGCGAATGCCCGTGCCCTTTTCAGGCCACTGAGCCATCCCCTGTCCTCCCAGACTGCAGTTTATGAGACCAGGGTGTGTAGGGGGGGGAGCGGCCACGGCAGGTTCAAGGGGACGGCTGATGAATTATAGATTTGCCTTTGGAAGTGCTTACTCACTCGCCTTTTAAAGGGAAGGAACATGATTCAATGCCAGCGAGCAGGTCGCCACAATTTCATCATATTTGTACTTGTTTGTCAGCTGTGTTTTTCTTGTTACAGTAAATACCGAGTGAAAGATAAATGCCGAATGGATGGCTTCAACTCAGGAAGCTTAATAACATTTTAACAGAACGAAGAGTGATGAACTAAATCACATTAAACGTGCACGCCAGGTGACATAAAAGTCTAGTGTGACCCTAATGGAGGTTTTGAGACATATTATCAACAGCTGGCTCTTGTCGAGGCATCGGGAACGTACCGGAGGTCCTGGAAGCCCCGGTCTGCCTGGAGGTCCTTCATTTCCCTGCCAAACACAAACCAGAGGAATTCTTAAACATGTCTGTGAAAATGGAAATGTTTACCAGGCACAGTCTCATGCTAATGTAATCCAGTGATATGGAACTTCATTTGCCAACCCTGAGAAGATTCTTTTAAGGGATCTGCTTTCCTACACTTCATGCACATGGAAATTTTTTAAAAAAAAGGAAAAAGAAAAGAAAAACAATAAATATTTTAAAATAATCTTTACCTTTGGCATAAGGTAACTGGAGTTATTTTATTTATTTTTTTATTACTTTATTTTTTGTTGTTGTTGTTTTTAACCAGTATATCTTCGAGATGTATGACACAACTACATTTATACAAAAAAGTACACTAAAGTGTTATTTATACTCCCTATCAAAGTCATTCATTTCATACTGCTTTTGAGCAATGGTGTCCATTTAAACATATCTGGATATTTTGCATGCAAATTGGCAAACATATTGTTTTAAGTAAGTCCCGTATGCTGTATATAAAATCCAGGAAGACTTACATACCGCGTATGTTACGTAGATAAATGGTGAAACACCTTACTTTTTCTCCTTTTGTTCCTGATTGGCCCATTGGACCTGGTCTACCCATGAGCCCCTGCAAACAGAATGTTTTCTTTTACAATGGAGTCTGGTTCGAGCATAAAGCTAAAAAAAGAAGCAAGTATAATATTAGACCACACGAATGACAGACTTCTTACCGGGGACCCTGTTCGACCGGTCACACCTGGAAGGCCTGGTGCTCCTGGAGGCCCCTAGAGGGGAGACAAGAAGTTCACGAGTTTCAAAAGGATTTCTCACTATTACGACAGCACAATTACATACATTTTTTTCTGCACCACTGGACATGTGGTGCATGTTGTGGATCCACGCGTAAACATGGCACATAAAGAGCAATACAGCACAAATTCAGATGTGCGAATCGTTCAGCCTGCACTCACATGTGCTCCCATGCGTGCAGGACGAGGATGTCGACTTGTATTCGGAATGAAAGATTGACTTCGATGTGAAGGTCGAGCAATTCAAAGTATTGCAGACCTGTACCTTTGTGTGCACAGTGAAACACTGATTGCAGTCAGTCCTTTTGTATTATTTCTATTTATGGTGAAGATGGAAATAGGTGACTGGGGCACATGGCCACGCCGAACGCTGTGCTGCTTGCTACATACAAAGTGTCCAAGGTCAAAGGTGTGCTGTCTTCCCAACAGTTGCAGGTGGAATGATTCAGAGTTTGCAGCCAAATTGTGAAAGATGAATTAGAAATCTTTGCCATACACTGCAATGACTGCTGGGCTTATATTTATCTTCATAGCACCTTTGAGCGTGCAGAAGCTGTGAAACATTTCAATTATCAACAGTGGAGCGTTTCTACATGCAGCACCTTTATTCATTTGTTTAGACACTGCACTGTGCTTTTCGAGGCATTTCAGAGACGGTATGGCAAATGTTGCCATCACTTATTTGTTTTATTAAAAAGCTGTTTGTTAAGCCTATGTAATCTAGCAACAAGAGTGCCTGTTAGTAAAAATCTCATGTCACTGCAGTTCAGTGCAGAAAGTTGACCTATGAAATGCTTCTCAGCTCCTCTAAAGCTTACCTTGTTTTTAATTAACACACGCGCGCGCACACACACATGCAAAGCAGGCTGCGTTCTTTATAAAGTAGCTCCTTAGAGAGCAAAAGATAGGGCATAGTGCACACGCGGCACTGTGGATGGCTTTTGATAGCTTCGTTTGAATACAGACTCAGAGTAGACAGGCTTTAAGATGAGGCCGACATTACAATATATTTACATTCTTTTGAAACAGGATTCTCAATGTCACAGTGACTTCCGGATGGTTAGATAACTACTGGATTAATTTGTTTAGATTAAACTTTTCTGTCTTTATTTCTCCACTCCACTCACCTCATCACCTTTATCTCCGATGGGGCCTGGGAACCCTCTCTCTCCTTTCACTCCCTGCAGGAAGGCAAAAACCAATGAGGTAAGGAAAATGTGAATGCTTTCTTTTTTTTTTCTCTTTCCCACTAAACTTGAAGAAAAGCCTTAAACTAAAGGCTGATAGGTGTAAACTTCAAAATGTCTCTCCCAGCACTCTTCCAGCACACGACTTGAAATTGCCTAGCCTGTTTCACCAAGACTGTATCCATAGCAACAACTTCTGCAGAGAGCACCTAAGAGTGTTCAGAATAATATGAGTTGTAGAACAGCTGGTTAGGCTTCCAGCGATAATCCGAAAGGAAATTTATGAAAAGCATTTGTCAGTGTAAATCTCTGTATACTAGATTAAACACACATTTCAGCAAACAATATTATAGAAGGAGGCTATTAATTTTACACATACTTCCATGCTGTGAAACTGAATTATTCATTTCGTTACAATTACATCAAATGTGATTTGTTATTTACTGGGTGTGTTTATGATATTTGCCTCGCCTACCTTAGGGCCTTCTTTCCCAGGGTTACCCATCGGACCTCGTACACCTGGATCCCCCTGTTTGTGAGAGAAGTACACAATGGATATGGCTGCAAGCACACACACACATGGAAAATATTTAATAAGCAATCCCAATAGAGTGTTGTGTAATGCAAATCACGGTCAGATAAAAGTGTTTACAGTGTCTGTTCCAAATCGCCCGGCATGTTAATGAGTAACTCCTACCTTCTCTCCCACCAAGCCTTCTACTCCTTGCGCTCCAGGGGACCCCTTCTCTCCCTTCTGCCCAGGCAGCCCCGGGACCCTTGTCTGGCAGGCACTGCAGGCATTCTGCCAGCAACCAGCAAGGCATGAAGCAGGGAAAAAAAAAAAAAAAAAAAAAAGTGGTGGCACAGATAAGATTCCATCAAGCTGAGCTGAAACACTGCATTTTCGCCCTTTATTATGTCACATCCCCCGGGTGGAGGACGAGACCCCAGCTGACATAAAGTGTTCTCTAAATGTCTGCAGAGCTTGAAATAATGTGAACCCACCAAGAGCGCCTCCAAGAGTGTCTCTCATCTGGGTGAATGGTGAACTTTGTCAAACTCATTGACTGTGACATTTAGGTGAGAATCTTAAATATCATTGTACCTGATCTAGCCCTGATATAAGCACTGAATCTTCCTGGAAAGAAGTAGGAGCTCTAAGCTGAAATGAGCCAGTAGAATTGTGGATTATATTAAAAAAAAAAAAAAAAAATTGGGAATGAAAAAAATGAATTCAATAACTGAATTTGAGAAACATAATGAAAAATTATGAGTACGGCTTTGCGGGCTAATTTTCATTTCAATCTTCCAACGCTTCAAAGAAATGTTATTTGTCTAACAAAATAAGAAGAGCACGCTATTATTGACATAATGACTGAAAGGGAAAAAAAAAATGCCCGAGTTGAATGTGTTTAGTCCATTTTTTTCTTTTTTTGTGGGTACTAATTAGAGTGCCACTATGCAGCTCTGATGAAGGCTGTAAACAGTGGTTGAATCTAACAGAGCACTTAATGGATAAAATAAGCTGACACTGAAGGAAGGGGTGACAGAAAATTATAAGACTGCTGACATCTGGCCTTCTCTATCAATGATTAATCATGTAAAGGCATTGTGGCTGTTGTCAGAGTTGACGTGTGTTAAATGTTAAAATGAAAAAGCCTTAATTTAGCTAAGTGCTGTCCTGCAGGTAACAACATGAACTAAGGTGACTAAACTGCTTCAGTCAAACCAAAAAAAAAAAGAACAAATCTGTAATTTTGATACACTGTTCCCATTGTTACGAGTAAAAGCGGAAGCACTTGATCGCTCCCCCCCCCTTTTTTTTCTTTTTAATAGTGTAATTGCAACAAATACAGGATGGAGAGGTGCTTCAATCAGGTGGGCCCTCGTAGTTCTTATGCACATTCTGCAAGGTAAAGAGACCTTGAGCACCGTTTGTACCAAGCCAAGAAGAAATTAGCGGAAATAACTACTTTGTATGACGAACATGTGAGAGTTTCAAAGTGAGAAATTGAAGATACGAGCTGATGATTATATATGTATGCAGCTAGTTTTATTATGAAAGCAATGAGTAATTTAACCACATTTCATTATTTCATTCATTTCATTTCTTACTGCTGTTTCATTTAGACTGGTGAAGGATATAAATTACAACAAATCTTTTTGTGATCAGCATGCAACATCTTCAAGTGGTGATCAATTAACAAACTGACAGCAATTTACATTCTACACTAAACGCCTTGTTTTACACTGTGTGTGTGTGTCACAGAAACTAATGTACAATTCTGTGTGACTCCTCATATAGGGGGAAGCAAACCATCACATAGCAATGACGCCCTTGACACGGCATACAGTATGTTTGCATATCTGCAGCAGCGTTGATCCTCGGAGACAGTTATCTCTGTATCGACATGTTATCCACTGTATTTGTATTGCAAGAGTGTGATATTTCTATATTCCATTTTCTTTACTGAAAGCTTTATTAAACATGTTGTCAGACTGTGTACCTGTGGCGAATAAGTAATCCTGCATTTCTTGTGAAATGATTTGCTATTATTTTAGGGAAATACTTCTCCCAGACATCCTGATGGAGGCACTCAAGATCTTTTACTTCAGTATCTCTCCAAACTGATAGCATCCATATATTAATAGAAATGCACTGCTTCAGATCGACAAACACTGATCATTTAAAACGACTAACCCCATCACCTTTTTGCATGGTATTTTTTGTGAAAAGCTGCAATTATCATTTACTCTGAAGATTAAATACCTTAAGTAAAGCGCCCATGTCTCCAACAATTGGCAGGGCAGTCTGTCAGGAAAAAAAAAAAGAAGAGAAAGTCTTAATTTCAGAGCAAAAAACTTTCATGTTTTTGAAATATTAAGCAGTTGTTTGCTTGGTGCAACTGCATCTGGTAAATTACTTAAAACATCACCAGGCGTATAAGACTGTCCTACATGCCTCGAATGTGATTTACCCTGAACATTTTCAACAAATTTATATTTTAGTGTTTTAGTTTCAGTTTTTATCTGCAACGCTTGAGGAAACAGTTTAATAACTTTGTTGCTGGAAGACAGGATCCTCACATCTTCAAAATATTGTTGTTCTCTGGAGCCAAGAAAAAACATTTTGAAGTGAAGCCCATATGCTTTTAAAAAAATAATCTATAAGTGCTTCTCATACATCTTTCCAACACATGAATATAAATAGGTTAAAACGCTACACTTACAAGGCTTTAATACAGCAGCAACGCTCGCATTGTGTTCACACTACAGCTATTAGAACTATAGTAAACGCGTCTCATTTCAAACTCAAAAAGGCACCAGAAAAACATGAAAACATGTGTTAACAACAGGGTGCCGCCAATTTGTCCTAAACTGCAACATTTTTCCTGAACGGTGATGTTAGTGAACAGTGAGACAAGCTGGTAATTATCCAAAAACTGGAGCTGCACTCGGAATATTGACTTTGACTTTAAGGTGATGTCAGTGCTTCTCAACGCTGATCAGTGATGCAGAACTGCAGAAAGCAGATGAGATTTTCTCACATACCGGTTCACCTGGAGGTCCAGCAGGGCCTGGTGGGCCTGGTCTACCAGGGGAGCCCTTTAATTGAGACAAAGACAGGAGTTAACAGCCCTCCAAGCTATAATATCAAGCAGACATGCAAGGCTATAAGTTGCTGCTTTCACACCCATCCCAGTTGGTGGGGATTTGTGTCCAGGAGCTGTGATACATTGTACTTGTTCATCCACAGTGCGTAGCTGACATTCTGCGGTGCTTCCAGCCATCTTTTATCTGCAGATGTGTGAAGGAGTGAAGAAGAACGGAAGGACGGACTGATCTCACTTACCTCTCTTCCCGGAGCTCCAGGAGGGCCAGAAAAACCCGGGGGTCCACGAAGGCCCTATAAAAAAAAAAATCCCCCGACAGATTTAAACAATCGCGCTTTATATAATCAGCTAAGTGTTATTTGCACTGTAAATAACTGCCAGACTGCTGGCCACAAGAACAATCAGCTTCAAATCTTTTCAAAATAAACTTGAACATGCTGTTTGTGTGCTATGGATTCAAAGAATTTTCCACAGACCTCAATTCCTGGCTTCCCCGGGGGTCCCACGGGGCCCTAAGAACACATCACACATCTTGTTAACACTATCTGCCCTCTAGCACCCAGGATCCAATAAAGGGATTGTGTTAGACACCTTTTGCTCTATTGATTCTCTGTCTCCACCAATCCTTTATTTCAAAAATGAACGCAGCCTCACTCACAGTCAAATCTGCGAGCTTCAAACTAGCGCCGGAGAGCATATATGATGAAGGTAGCGTGCAATACAGCAGCACCCCACAGCGATGACCAGTGTTTTCATCAGAGGGTGCATTTTATGAACACTTAAAGTGAAAATCAAAGAGGATCTCCTTCATTCAACGCCCAAGACAAAGACAAGAATCTGAAGGTACCATAGTTGGAGCTAAATAATTAATGCGGGATCAATACGACATCATACTTACTGGTGTGCCTATGACACTCTCTCCGGGTTCGCCCTTTTCGCCGTGGTCTCCTGGCAATCCCGGGACACCTCGCTCACCCTGACACAAACACAGTCGGTGGGGGGGGGGGATTCAAGGGAGAGTGAATCCAGAAGAAGGAAGAGCTGCTGCTCTGCGTGATCATTAAGTATTCAAACTCTGCCGGAACCCATTTCCCTTTATCTTTTGCCTTTAGTAGCTTCAAGGGTAAGAAACACTACTATGGTGAAGGCCAGTGGCATGCACATGTTCATTATCTATTTCATTTGAAGTCATACATGCACTGTGGTACCCAGTGAACTCAAATGTACAAGGTTTTGTGTTTTTTTTTTCATGACAATACCATTAATTACTGGAGCACGATTCCATGGGAGAAACTTGAAACCTCTTCTACGGCTTTACATTGAGCACATCCAGTGTGGGAGCATTTTCAGTGATATCGACTACACTGGCGCTTTAATGCAGCGGTTGCTTGTAAATCTAAGTACGTGAGATGGAGGGGAAACTATGTTAAAGTTTTTTTCTTTTTAAAACATATTTGAACAAGCAAACATTTAACTTTCATTAAAACAGTGCTGACAGATGACATAATCGCAAATGACTCACACAAATTGACATTTTGTTGTCATTTTCATAATTCAAATAAATAAAGAGCAGATTAGTCACATGGAAAAAGTACGAACGGCTCTACATTAATCAGCCCTTCAGAAACACAATATTTGAATCAGAAGCTCCAGATTAGGTGATAATGATTAGAACCTCCTTGACAGGGGGAACCTGTCTGATTTAACCCTTTCAACACTAAGTAAATGTGTATTCCTAATACACTTCAACACTAAATATCTTTGGCTTGAAAAACACCTTCAACACGAAGTAACTTGCTTGAAATTCATGATCAGATATGGTTTTGATTAATCACTCATAAATTCTTAAGTAGACTTTACATCACTACATATCTGGTATCAATCAAAAGTAGACAAGCGGACGGTTAAAAATATATGGAAGTTTACTCTTGTCATATACATACAGGTGAAATACAGGTGTGAAAAGGTAAAGGTTAAACTTCAGGGATACATGCAATTAATTATCAGTTCTTATATGCTGAGACATCAGCTAAAGTCTTGTAATTAGTTCGTTTTAAACGCTTATAAACATTTCGGAAACAAACGTTTTCTGGTGATTTTTGGGGTCAAACAACATCATTTTACTTCATTTGCATAATTTATTTCATGACTGAATCGCTTGTTCACATATGGGAATTCCCACTGATAGACAATCAAAATGAATGAAACAGAAAGTCGCCATATACCGGAGCCCGCTATACCGCACTGCAGCGTTAAATGTCGGTGAAAGCTGCAGACCGATATCGCGGTCTGCAGTGTTGAACGGGAGTTGTAAGCAGGCTATAGTGTCGAAAGGATTAAACCTCTGACATTGAGGTTCTGGTATTTTCTTTGCTATTGAAGTGTGTGGGGTGTCATCATGGCACGATATAGCGAGCTCTCTAAGGCCTTCAGAAAAAGAAAAAAAAAGGTAGTGGATGTCTACGAGTCTGGCAAGTGATTTAAAAAGATCTCCAACTCTTTTGAAGTAAATCAATCTGCTGTGAGGAAATCGAACGCAAGTGAGGTAGATTTCAAACAACCTCAGCAAATTCAGTCCAAGAGAAACTTCTGTCACAGGATCTGCACTTGACTCTTGCGAGTGTTGGTCTCAAAGTGTCTACAAGATCACCAAGAGTTGACCTGCATGGTAGGAAAAAAGCCTTTGCTTTCCTCCACAAAGAACCACAGAGTGAAACTACAGTTTGCCAATGAACACGTAGGCCAGGCCTTTTGGAATCATGTGCTCAAGACAGACAGATCAAGGATGAAGTTGTCTGGCCACAGTTACAGTAGACACGTTTGGTGCAGATGAAAAACGGCTTCTCAGGAGAAGAACCTTAGACTATCTGTAAAGCTTCGTGGTGGTTTGGGGCTGCTTTGCTGCTTGCAGGTCTTGATTCACCTGAATACTGCATCATATCAAAAAAATGCTTCGAGATAATGTTAGACCGAAAGCTGAACCGGATACTGACCTTTTGACAGGATAACGACCCCGAGAATACTAGTAAATCTAACGAAGAACGGATCAAAAAGAAAAATGGAGGGATCTGAAATAAGCTAGTGAGAGCCAAGATTTGAATTCCATTGCAATGTTGAAGGGGGATTTGAAACAGACGGTACATGCAAGAAAACCCTCAGACATCTCACTACTAAAGGAATTTTGCATGATACAAAGGTAAAAACATTCCGTAAGCCCATGTCAAGGATTGGTGGGCACGTCTGTAAAACACACAAGAAGCTATTTCCACTTGAGGGCCAACACTAGCTTCAGAGGGCTAAGGCTGTACTTTGTTGTTTTTTTTTTCCACAGAATATCTATTCAGATTTTATTTATTGATATTTCTGTTTAATAAAAGATTGAAGAAGCCAATTTGGGGTGTTGTTCAGGTATGCCATCTTTATATGTAGACACTGTTTTACAGAGATTCAACTGCTTTCATGTCCAAATATGTCAAGAAAAAGCCAAAACTGTCCAATTTTTTCTTCCCCCAATACATGTACATAGAAACAGATAGTAAAACTAGCTAAAAGTAACAGAAACTAGATCCTATAAGACGTTATTTCCTGCTTGTTTTAGTAACTGTGTTTTCTGTATTTGCTGCACATTTCTGTGTTTGGACGTGTTTTCTATATTCATGTGAGTCTTCTCTTTATTATTAATATTCCAGCAGGAACTTTACTGCTAACTTCTCCCTCATGGATTGTGTTATGAACATCATTCAAAAATCAAATTTGTATTTGTACCATACGACATTGATTTTATGTTCTAACTTTTTAAAGCTATTTATTTCGTAATGTAAGTCAATCGGAGACATTATCTGACTCTAAAGAAACCTTTTCAGCATTTATAAGCTAACTGCTGTGCTGCAGATTCAGATGTAGACTCCTACTAGAACATAATCCATCTTTACAGTTTAATGCCAACATAAATAATGTAACTGAATCAATGAGGTAATGTAGGGAGATCATCTTGATTTTGATATTTAGATGATCTGATCTGCTACTCTTTATTGTGTTTTTAAGGTTGTGCACTTAAAACTAGCAGCTTGATTCCAGAGACTTCCACAGACTTAATCTGAGAAATGCAGATTACTCTAGTCAGTTGTGTTTTCTCACTTTGTTCTGTCAATTTTGTGAAGCTGTTTCCTAGTTTGTTTGTGTTTTGTTAGTGGATGTTGCAGTGCAGTGAGCTCTTGAGGCCATAATTCAAAAGTAAATAGTTAGAATAGTTTGCTAAAAGCTTCAGCCGCTGAGTATGGAAGCACCAATGCATAGTTGACCTGAAGCGACAATTCAATTGCGTGATATTGTTATCGAAGAGTAACAATATCCACTTTTATGTAATTGCTAGTGTTGAATATCATCCAGTACAAATCAATTCAAACCAGCAGCACATTTAGAATTAATAGGTGAAGCAGATAATAGGGTGCTTGAGCTGCGGTGTCATAACAAGAAAAACATTTTGGAGCCACTGACCTAAATGGAAGGTTTTGTTACAGCAGAAAAAGTAAAACACAGATAGTCTCCATAAATATCATTGATCTATCTGCAGAGGTTAACATACAGCAGTGGGCAATACTGAAAGTTGTGTTGGTGAAGTTCCACCACCACAGTGCCTCCTACCTTCGGCCCGCGAGACCCTCGAGCTAGAGACAACCCATCGCCCTGTAAAACAACAGGAAGAAGACATCAGAATAGAGAATCGCTGCACATTCATCAGCAATTCACTTTGAGAACTGAGGTGCAGCCGTCCCCCACCAAAAAAAAAAAGCTGCTCGAAATTAAAACAAGAGCCTCGAATCTGTATGAGCTACACATCACAGCGCAAACAATATGAACACGGCGCTGCATTATGAGCTCATCTTCAATACTATTTACAACATTTTTATTAGTTTCTGTCTACAGAGGCACAGTGATAATACCATACAAAGGAGGAAAAAAAAAATCCTGATTGGAATTGAAGCTAGTGTAAGCATTATTTACTGTACCATCCAGATGAGACATTGATTTCTGTGGTCAGCATGTATTAGTGTTACAAGTCCTACATTGCACAATGTAAATTAGCTATGCAGAAGTTGGATTCGAACTAACGCAGCAATTCTACAGTTTTTAGGGGAGAAATGTACCCGTTCGCTCAGACATAAAACGGGGGAAGTTAAGAAGGTGCAGAACTTTTAGAGACAAATGTGATCCTACGACTGCACTTTTCTGTTAGACGTTATGCAACTGCTGTCATGGTTATGGGTTTATTTTCATTCACCTGGCTTCCTCCCACACGGTCCAAAAACATGTTGAAGTTAATTGGTGATTCTAAATTGTCCGTAGGTGTGAATGTGAGTGTGCTTGGTTGTCTGTCTATAAGTGTAGCCCTGTGATAGACTGGTGACCTGTCCAGGGTGTCCCCTGCCTTCACCCTGAGTCAGCTGGGATAGGCTTCAGCTCAGCGTGACCCTACTGAGGATTAAGCGGTGTATAGATAATGGATGGATGGATGTTTCAGATCTCACCTTCGTCATCTGACCTGCCCCTCCTCTCCACTCACCTGATTCCTTTCAGCTAATCCTCCTGCAGTATATATACACTCCCAACCTGCCACTACTCATTTGCCAGATTGTCTTTGTGCCTTAGTTTTCTAGTGGTGTGTTTGCCTTGATTAGTTTATGCATGTTTTTTTGTTCTTTTTTAACCTAGCATATATCTGGGATTTTGCCTCAGCCCTTGTGCTTTGTTTGCTTTCCTGATGTTTTGTACCTTTTCAAGTATTTTTCCTTTTACTCCTTGAAGTCATGCTTTTGGGTTCCTCGTCTCAAGCCCAGCGCTCCACTGAAACAAAACCTCTACGTCAGTATACGAGAGCGGAGGGTGACTGCTAATCTATGCAAATAATAACACCGAAAGAAACAAAGAGCAAACTGGTCATTATTCATTTGAAGGCAAAATCAATAAAGTGACGTTAACTACTCGAGCAGGCTGACTCATTAAAGATGGTCGGACAATCTGCACTGAGTTCTGTTTATTGCCTTTTTTTTTTCCTCCCCTTATCTTTGTCTTACGCAACAAAGACCATAAACGCTGAGAATGAGTTTTCTCGCAGTTCCTCCACGCAGACTGACATTTGTAAAAGACTGGATGACGCCGGCTCTAAATGAAAGTCGTTTCTCTTTGTTTCGTTTTTTGACCTATGTGACAACACAGGCGGCCATTAGAATGCTGTAAACATCACCCCTTGACACGCGCACAGCCCTCGTTTCCAATCCTTTTGCAATTTTCACAGTGCTGGAGTATGTTAAAGAGGTTTAAATACTTCTGCCTGAACGCAATCTTTCCCTTATTACTCTGCTCACAGTACCTCCCTTGCTTGATGAGTAGGTTTGCTGTCAAGCTTAATGTTCAGTTCAGTGTTTCCGCACACAAACAAACATGATTGTTTGAAGCCGTAGAGCGCTGCCGGTGATTGAAGAGAGCGAGCACTGTCGACCAGGACTGAAGCATTCAACTTCACACGCTGCCTTTTTTTTTTTTTTTTTTGGGGTGACTTTATAATGAACATTTCTATATGCAAAGCCATGTCCATAAAAGAGAGTGCTTCAACAGCTATAAGCTCCAAAATGGGAGGATAGGTGATTACCCAGACTGGGGTTATCCAATGGTGGATTGCCTAATGACACCGCATCTCTATAATGTCACGGCATCTCTGCAGCTGGCGGAGCTAGTTTCCTCAACTTGTCTGCTGCTGTTGTTGTGTCTGGTTGCAAGTGACCTATAGTACTCTATTGAATTCTCTGCTGTTTTCATGCTCTGCACTAACAGTTTTTGTGTCCTTTGACTTGAGGGCTTTAGTGAACAAAGTTTAAACAAAATGACTGCCTAAACTCCACGTGGCACCTACCATATATCCACCTCCAGGTTCTCCAGGCTCACCCTTAGGACCTTGAGGTCCCTGTGGCCCAATCAGTCCTCCAGAGTCTCCCTATAGACAGAAAGACAGACAGTCATCAGAAGTTTTTCTGTGGCAAAAGTGTCAAACTGGCTCTGTCATCTCAACAATGCAAAAGAGGTGCTGTATTAGACGCATGGATCCCATATCCAGCATTTTTCCAAAGATCAAAATATTTGGAGCATTATTTTTTTTTCTCCTCCAGAATATTTTTATTGTGAAGATCACAAACATACATTACAGGATTCTCAGAAAGGTGTACAAAAATCAGATTTGGCAAGAATAAAACATTATTTTTCTCTTTTTATCCTCAACCATGAGCTGGAGTTGATGTATACGACAGTGAGACACAGGTTATTAATATAAGGTGCTGGGCGACCCTTCAAGTATACACAACAAGTATAAAACAAGTATATTATAACTGAGTTATCACCTAATCAGTTGCTACCAGTTGCTGTGTGCATGAGTAGCAATACAACAAGGGTGGAGACAGAGGGAGAGTTGGAAAGAGTAATTGATTACAGTTGAAAGCAGGTTCAAAAACCCCAGAGAGGATAGATAGATAGATAGATAGATAGATAGATAGATAGATAGATAGATAGATAGATAGATAGATAGATAGATAGATAGATAGATAGACAGATAGATAGATAGATAGATAGATAGATAGATAGATAGATAGATAGATAGATAGATAGATAGACAGATAGAAAGATAGAAAGATAGATAGATAGATGTGAGGAACAAATAAAAAAATAAATAGAAAAAAGAAATATATATATATAAAAGTGATATCATGTTAAGTGTGGGGTATGTTGAGATCCAAATTAGTGGCCTGAAAGTAATTTAGAAATGGTCCCCAAGCCCACTACTCTGTCAAAAAATTTACATTTCCAAACAGCTTGTCGCATTATTTTTAACTTAGTTTTGGAAAATGTATCCAAAAATGTGCCACTTTGGCTTCAATGCTTCTGTCTGTGGATGGAAGCAATGTGTGGTCCAGAATATGATTGGTTGCACGTCAAGAGTAATAGCCAATAAACACTGAAAGATAAATGTTAAAAAAAATAACAATTAAATAAACATATCAGGAATAAATAAATGTATAACAACAAAGTTTTGCGTTGGAGTTTGTGCTATTCTAAACCAACACACCAAGACTTACGCCAAAATTACAAAGATGAAAAAACTACAAACCCCACCATGAATAATAAGAATCGGAACCAAAAACAAAAAAAAAAAAGATATCAGTTGACATCTACTTGCTAACCTAAAAGTCTCCTAGCCCCAGCCCCTATTTAGTTTGTTTACTTTTTACTATTTTTTCACTGAGTAAAACATGAATTCACATCCAGAACTGCTTTTTTGGATCAGAGCTAACATCAGTACAGCAAATAAAGGAGGATTATAAAATGAATATCGGAGGCTTAAGCACTTTATGTCAATGAGTATAGGGGGCTTAGGCACTTTCAGTTTATTTCTCTGCTCTAGAGTATAACAGAGTGATTCCGCTGGGTGGGGAGATTTGAGTACAGCTTCATTTATTTTGAGGAGTAACAAACCCCATCAAATATGCATGTCAGCTGCAGACTTTGCTAATTTGCCACTTTCAGCACAGCGTTTGGAGCCCTACTGCAAAGAAGAAAATTTGTGTACAAATAACAGCGTTGTCGGAGGCATCAAAGGCAAGAACACAAAAGTTTGCGGTATGATTGCGAAAGGCACGCAGGGCGAGTCATCCGAAAGGTGTCTTCACAAGTTGTCTAGCATGTTCAACCTGTGATAAAACATCATAGCTTCGTATTTTTCTTTGAGGTAAGAACTTGATTTGAAGTTTACCTACCTTTTCTCCTTTCAGGCCATCTCTCCCAGGCACCCCTGGCTCCCCTGGCGAGCCCTGTAAATAGTGGTGAAAAGAGACACATCTATCACCAGGCCTTCATCTCCTCACACACATTTATCTCCTCCTCCTCACTGCTTCAGCGGGCTGCTGTGTTCCAACATAATTTCCCTTAGCCAGGATTTATGAAATGCCTCTTTTCCCTCCCTGCTTTTGAATAAAGACAGATGCTCATTACCGAAGCAGGTGTGGAGAACAGATTGGGCCTCTGCCTCCGTTCCTGGCATAAAGCGCTTAGATTTGCCTCTTTCCACTAATTAATTCTTAAATTTGATTACTGATCGTCTGTGTAAAAATTCTGGACTTTTCTCCCTATACTTCCTCTCTGTCTCTGCCTGTTGAGGTTTATCTGTTTATCTCTCTCTTTCATTTTTGGCAGCCTGAGCTAAGAGAGTGGAGGATGTGGCAAGGTGACAGATAAGGCAACGGGAGAAAGGGAGGCTTGACATGAAGTGCTGGTGTCTAGTGCCAGTGTACTTACTGGCTCGCCTGGGAGCCCTGGTAGTCCAGTGGGTCCAGGCCGTCCTTCCTTCCCCTGGCAAAACACAAAGGAAAAACCAATACTTTGTGCTATTTTCTCTCTTTGTTTGGTGACAGAAAATGTCTGGGCTTTGAGTGTTATACCCCGGCCAGCTATGCCGCGGACACAGACTTTTCCAGAGCATTTCAAACAGCACTGTTGTGTAAGTGATGCCCCTGCTGCCTTTTTAATAAACCATGGTCAGTTGCACGGCAATTACTGTATGCAGACACTGTCATCATGACTGAGCAGCAGCAGCACGTTAGATCACTTACATCACCGCTGTGCCGTTATTCTAGATGAGCTGTTTATATGCATTCCTCTTTTCGACTGATTATTGTCTTTACATGTGCGGATAATTGAAATGATCCACATATTACCATGGAAACTGAACCTATGTCGAATGAGAAGTGGGAAAAGATTCTGTATCCTGGCTGCTATCTTTACCTACTCGCTCGCATGACTGGGATAAAACATGCATCTGCATAATCACCAACAGTTTATGATATTCTCATGAACATTCTTCAAAGGAATACATTTACAGAACACATGTACACTAAGCATTCCCTTCTAAAGAGGGGGGAATATGTAATTATTTGTTTGCATTCATCTCCATATTCCACTAACAAATATCATTTTAATTATAAGACGCTTCACAAAAGCAACAGAGGAAAAAATGAAATTGTGGGTTTTGTTTTAGTTTAGTGTTATTATTATTTTGGTCCTCTTTCTCATACGTGCACACAGTCCTGCTCTGGTTTCATCGTATATTCAACAGATTTTGAGGCCTCATTTTCATTTGACCTACAATAAGGTGCACAGCAGACATGAGACAAACACAAAGTCTCACCTCTGGGCCTTGATCTCCCTTTAGTCCTGGCGGCCCCATGTTTCCCTGTTACATCACCAAAAAAGGATGAATAAGGAAGGAAAAGAGAGGCAAGGAAATAGAAAAGGGGGAAAAAAAAACACAACATCTTTGAGATTTGTCTTCTGTTATATGCTACTGAAAGAAAGGGTATAGTATTTGTTTGATGTCTTTCTGAATTCAATATACAGGAGAACTTTCATGCACTCAAAGAAGGTTTCCAAAGGTGTGGAGAGGCATAAACAACAGAAAAGGAATGAAGGTTCACTTCAGCAGCAGCTGGGGATGAATTACTCGCGAGTGTGTCACTAGAAATTTTAGGTCCTCAGATGACAGCTAGAAAACATGGCACTTTGCAGGGCCACTGTCTAGCTCAGGATGTACTATGTCAAAGAAAGAATCTTTTCTACGAAAAAAAAAAAAAAGACTTTGATCAACAATCTGTAAACTCCACACAGCCACATCCTGCTGTGACTGCTGTTCACAGGCATGCAGAGCGCTGGTCAAAGGACTTTGAAGCCTTATTGCGTTGGCAGTGGATATTTATGCAAAAAAATTTTTTTAGTGCAACTGCAAAGTCTTCAATGAGTCACCTTGAGGCCTTGCGGTCCTTGAACCCCTTTCTCACCCTGCAGAAAGTCGAGGAAATAGGAAAGCATTAGTTTTCTAGATGCGCGTCAAAAAATAAGTAATAAAAAAAATCAAGTAAGCCATTCCTCTTGCTGACAGTGGTAAGGTTTAAACTATTTCCTCAAGGACCTTCAAGAAGTTAGCTTTCATATTATGTGAAGGTTAAGAACACAGAGTATTTCCTTTGCCAAGTTTGTTCCTCTTCTCTGAAAATGTGGATATAATCAAAACAGTAACTACTTAAAAAAAAAAAAAAAACACCTCTGAGATATAATCTTTTTTGCTTTTTCCTTCATACCATTTACACTTATCATTGCCGTGAATGGGATGTTTGATGCCAACCATAATGCAGTAAATCTTCCCCCATTTGCAGATTTTACAGAGATTTTAGACACATATTTTTTTGTTTTCTTTTTCTTTCTTTCGGTACATTCAATTTGAAATAAAACAACAGATTGGGGCTCAGCTTCAATTTGAGCATGTTTCCGTAAATATAAAAAAAAGACATATGCGGGAGACATAGCGCTTTCAACACAAAGTTTAGGGCTTTAAAAGTCGCTGGGGAGATACACATGAAGTCAAACAACATTATCTTCATATTTAATATTTTGTTTACTTATGCAATGCTGTCTCTGTCTACAGTTTGAGCTTCAGCAAGTGGAATGTTTCTTCAATCAGACTGAGACGAGGGTAAATGACAGTCAGATTTTCCACCTCTTCACCCCGGAAAGCTCTTATTTGCTTTGACTGTATGTTTAAAATTGTTGTCCTGCTGAAAAACGAAACGTCATTCAGGAAGGTTTTCTGCATTTGGTTGAATCTTAGTCCTTTCTGTATATCTCTGCATTCACTGTGTTGCTTCACAAGCACAAGATTTTAAAATATGATGCGATTCTATGGGTCACGAGCCTTTTTTGTCCCTCCACATCTTCCTCTTTCAATCACTTTAATTAAAAATAAATTTTTGTTTCATCAGTACATTGAACTTTGTCCTCAAACGGTTTTCTTTCCATATGTTTTTTTTCCTTGTGTGGGCTGTAACCTGGACATCTCAGTTTCTGATTCTGACTGGTTGTTTTCACCTCTGAGTTGCTCTCTGAGGTCGCGGTCGTGAACTCTTCTCTTGATCGCCAACAAGGAAAGATGAACTCCTACATCCTGGTAAACACTCTTAACTTGCTGTGCACTCTTGAGGGTGTTTTTCTGCACCGTAGCATTTATTATCAAGTCATCAACAAGACTTCTGCTTCTCAGTCTATCCGTTTATTTGCCATTTTCTTGTTTTTCCTGTGTGAACCTCCTATTTTTTTTTTTTCTTTTGTTTTCAGAATGCACCCAACTATTGATTTTGGCAAGCAAACTACCTTTGATATCTCTTTGATAGATTTTTGCTTTTTTATTGAGGCTCATTATTATCTCCTTCACTTGCGTGGTCACATCTTCACTCCTCGTATTGACAGATAACTCTGCCTCAATCTCAATGGCGGCTCTTGACTCTCGATTAACTCCGAGCCATATGTGAGATCTTTTGTGCGTGAACAAACGTTGATACGTGCACGCCGGCCCGTGTAACATTTAGCAGCTGAGTGTCCAATTACTTTTGAACCTTTTCAGATTGAGTATTATGTGTTCAGTAATTTCCCAGGCCTGGGATAAATAAAGTATTTTTCTATTCTATTCTATGTGTTAAAAGGACTATATCTCATAGTTCTTTCTGGGCTGACACATGCCCACATCAATCAGAGCAGGGACTTGGCACTTTCATATAGCGTATTTCAGAATGAATGTGCTTATATTCAAAGCCCAAAGAGCAAAAAAAAATGTGTCACTCTCCAAATACTTATGATCTGGACTATGTCTCTGCTTGTAATTTGCTTTTTGCTTTTTTTTCTTCTTTTTCCATTTAGTGGACTGTCTTTTGATGTTTGGTCAATAGCTGCATCAGTGGCCTTTGTCATCTGCTCGCCTGACGTAGATGCATCTGCTGCTCTGGGGCCCAAACAATAATTGTATGCCAATTTATTCTGTGCCTCACCTTGTGCTTCTCTACAAAGCACAAGGATGAAATCAGACTCGCCGTTTGAACAGCAGGTGATGTTCAATTGTTCTTTCCAAAATCAAATGTCAATGCTGCTTTTGTTGACGTTACGCAAGAAACGGGGCGAATTTTTCACGCTGTGGTGTCGGATGCGGCGTTTGAAAATTAATACTGACTTTTGTATGGTTAAATAATCTTCAGTGAGAAAGAATGATGAGATGAACTCACCTCATCTCCCTTTTCCCCCTTCTGGCTTCTTTCCTTTGTTTCATCCTTAAACAAAAGACAGAACAAAACACTTCAAAAACTGACTGCGGTGTACTTTTTGTACAAGAAAAAAAAATAAAAAATACAGTAAGGCATCGTACATAAACATTTCACATTTTGTGATTTTAATGGCCGCTTACAGTTCCAGAGAGCTGTCTTAATCCATGAGCTGTCATCACCTAGAAATAATGAAAGAGACACAGTGTTCTCTATGATAGTCTCGACTGATCTGGCAATTACTGTGACTAAAGACATTTAAAAAAAAAAAAAGATGTTTGTAAAGACAATATGGGAGCCACAACTTCTTCTTGGTTCACTAATGTATGTGCTCAACCTGACTCTCTTCCTACAAATCTCAACCTTGGCTTGATAAGAAAAGATTAAATTTGTATTTAGATGGAACATTTTCATTTTCTCCTTTATATCTTCAATAAAGAGCGACAGAGCAGGTGAGCCTTCTGCAACAAAATTAAATGAAATGGAAAAGAGAGGAGGTCAATACTACTTGATGCACCCAAATTATTATATTTAAAGTGTTTCTATGGAGCCACTTGCTCCTCAAGTCATTCTTTGTACAAGTTACGCATCAAATCACACATTGCAACAAAGACCTAATTTAAACCCGACACCAACATGCATCGCAATGAATCAGAAGTCAGTTTGTTAGCGCTCGATCAAATAAAAACCAAGGACACGCTGAAGTCGAGCTGGTAATAACAGGATACTACGCTACTGACCTCATTTTACACAAGAATGTATGCAAATGCAGAAACTTGCATCCAGCTTTCCTGCTGTTTAAAGGCTTTTTCTAACATTTTAAAAAATAAAACTGTTGTTCCCAAAAATACAGAATGGCCTCAATTATCTTACAAAGCACGCACGCACCGGGGGAAGAGGTGGAACGGTGCAGTCGCCAATGATACGAGCGATTGTTGCAGTTGGATTGCTCACAATCGCATTTCAGAGCTGACACCGGTGACATATATTAATAACAGGTTGCACAGGCACATCGAGATGCAATCTGGATATGAGATGAACAATAAAATGTGGGAGTAAACTGGACAAAAGTTTTGAGAGTAGGACCGATGTTTTTAAGGCCCAGTGCATCTATCTACAATCATCAGGAGAACTCATTACATCTGAATGTCCTCAGGCCCCTTTGTGTTGTGTTAATTCTGCATTTCACCCATGTATGCAGTTCAGTCTTGCAGAATCAGATGAAATGAGATGCAAAAGAAAACAGAAGCAATCTCAGCAACTGAAAGCCATTTCTATATATTTTCTGCCCCCATGGCACTTAGATTTTGTACAGATGTGTCTCCTATTGACATAATTGCCATTAGTTACTTCTCTTGATTGTTTCTCATTCAAAGGATTTTCAGGTTTTTTTTTTGGTCCGCCTGTTCAGGTGTCCTGTTCCCTGATGAATGTGTGCCCATGAGTCCTTTTAGAGCCTTACTGTGTAATTAAGGCATATGTATAAAGTAGACATGAAGTTCTCTCTCTTCCTTCAGCAACAATGGTCAAATCAAGTTTAAGTAAGGTGCTGAATCCCCTCCTGTCCCAGCAGCGTGTCTGCATAATCAGTCAACCTTCAGCGTGCAGCTACTCAACAAAACGACTGCTGTCAGTTTTTTTTTTCTTCTTCTTTCCTCGGATACGGAACAATGCCACGAGTATCTGCCTGATGAAATTTCTGCCCGAATTTTTCTCGAGAGCTATGAAATACTGCGCATTACCATTTTCTCAACATAACGTGGCATAACAGATTCAATTTAATAGATTATAAAAACCCATTGTAAAGCGAAGGCGCACTAAAAACAGGGCAGTCTGAGAGCTAAAAAGACTGTTTTGCCACTTTAAGGGCTTTGGGAGAAGTGATGGCGGTGCATGCCTGTAAGCTCACTGCTCCTCCCTGTCACTAATAAACACAGGCACAAGAAGGTTTATGAAGGGAGGGTAATGATCTGAACCCTGGCTTCTGCTGTGTAAGGGAAATCAATGCTTAACTGCCAAAATTATCTGCAATGGGAAAGCAGAGAGCACAGACAGAGACTGGTACTAAATATTCAAACAGCCTCATTTATCAAATGACTAATGTTTTCCCCTCCACCGTGTGCTATAGTATACATCGCCTATACTCCGGGTGGTCCACACCTCACTACACAACAATGAACACAACTGAGTATTTCAGTTTTGATAGAAAAATTTTGTTATCTTCCTCCCCAAGCAGAAATGAAATTTCAGGGGGGGGACCCAACAAAAAACAACAACTCAAATATAATTGCAATGCAAGACCTTAGTGTTTTGAGCAGCCATTAAAACCGCCTACATTGATATCTATTCTTATTAAATGACTAGACTTTTTGTTGGTTCGACAGAAACCAGTGAAACCAGTTGAGAGTGAGAGATATTTGTTCGCTCTATAATTAAGTTGTCTAATTTCCATATGAATTACTTGCTAACAAGCGATGAAAATGAGAAGAAGAATGAAAGCCGTCAAACTTTGTTTCCAAGCTTGTGTCGAAAGCCTTCAGAGGTTCAATAGGCAGCAGATCTTTAGAACAAAACCCATTAGGACAGAGTCATCTAAATGTCAAAGCCCTCGCTTTGAGGCACAAAGGCGCCAACGCCATGTTTTCATTTGACACTTTCTATACTTTAATTTCTGTTTTTTTCCCAGAGAAGGTACACATAGTTGTCTTTGGAGTCACTACGACCGCCTTACAGATCTTCAAGTGATTTTTCACAGTGTATTTTTGACTTTAAAACGTCGAAGCGATGAGTTTTATCACCCCGGCACCACCCACTCTGTGTCACCTTCAGCACATATTAGACATCCAGCATGACGTCAGGGTTTCTCCGTCTTTATCTGCTGCTTAACCACATTTGGCATTAGTGTCATCCACCAAAAACCATTTATTTATAATTTACAATTATGAACATTATACAAAGGTCATGTGCTGCGTGACCCCCATTAATTGACGTGATCATTTTTTTTTTTTGTTCCAAATGAAAGATTACAACATCAGAGGGCGATGGCTAAATACACAAGAAGTTGCAGTAAGTTGTTTTGTGAATATGTAGATTGCTAAAAAAAAAAAAAAAGTCATTCATTGAGAGCCTGTAGCAAAGAATCAGGGATTTCATTACCTGAGAAAACTAGGAGGCTCTTAACATGCCCTGCCTTTAAACACACTGCCCATGTTTGATGGCCTTTATCAACACAGAACCTCTGTTCATATAGAAAAAAAAAACATATATATACAGCTAGAGTAAATCTGCAGGCCTGTCAAAGTACGGAAATTGGTTACATAGTGACATGCTCAATGTTGGAGGTGTGACAGCAAAGGCAAACACTGCTCTGTTGTTGGTTTCTCCTCCCTGGTCCACAAATAGTAGGATACGAACTGCTTAATGACGCACAAAAACGACATTTTCTTGGGTTTGTCGCAAAGAAAAGGGTGCAAATATGACATCATCTAATCTAACATCTTACTAATTGACAATAAACAATATTCTGGAACAGAGGGTTTCATCCCTGTTGTGTACTTACAGGACCAGGAGGACCGGGAGGGCCAACATCCCCCTGAAAACACAACAGAAACATAATATCAGTCACTACCTATAAGCAACTGTTAGACAGAGAGACTAACAGGCAGTGACAAAAGGGATACAAAAATAGAAGACAAAAAAACCCCCAAAAAACATACAACATAAAACTCCACTTGAGAAACCACTTCTGAAAGCGGGTTGCCACAGGTGACCTCGAACAGCTACATCAATAAGTTTTGGAGCAACAATAAAGAATGCAATAACACGGCCAGATCTCACAGAAAATACTGTTTAACTCAAGTGATGCGGAAATAAAAATAAAAACACCGAATAATTCTTCTTAAAGAGCAGAGTGCAATGCTGCATTTCATGTGAAGCGTGTAGAATGTTGTACTATATATACTCCCAGCATGCATGGCCCTTTGTAATGGGTTTACTGGGAGCTCCAGTATGTGAGCTATTGCATGACAGGAGCCTCCATTTTTCTATTCATAATTTAGAAGCTATAGCTTTTGTGCTTTCAATAAAACAAGAAAACATCACAGATTATATAGAGGACTATAAACAACTCAAAAGCACTCAGAGAATGCATGACCAGCCTTACCAACTCTGAACAATTCTCTGAATTCACTACTACAATAACAGGGAAGGTTTCTAAGTTTTTAATCTCCGTCTAGATCTGGATCAAAAATACATTTAAGCTATTTTTAGAGAGTATCCAAACCTAGAAATATATAGGTGCTGTAGGTAAATAAGTCCCACAACTCATCTATAGCATGGCTCTAGGGATGGAAATGTCCATAAGTCCATCACTTTGGTCCACACAGGGATTTCACTGATGGATGGCCATGAGATTGTGTACAGGCACACATGGTTCCCAAATGATGAATCTCTCCGACTTTTGGATTGGATCATAAAATATGAAGCACATTTTCACACTGCTCATGATGGATCCAGAGACTTTGGTGGTCCTCTGACTTTTCCTCCTGCACCACCAGCAGGACAAAGTTTTCACTTTATGTTGTTTACAATGCTACAGACAATCACGGTACCCAGAGGATGAATCTTACAGTCTCATCGATGGCTATTACGCCAGTGAAGCCGACAGTTTAGACTTTTACCAAAATGTTTTTGGAAAATCTTGGGTGGCCTGACATGCAGATTAATAGAGACATTCATGGTGGGAAATACCCTGTGTTTTTCATGTCATAAACAGGTAAAATTTCCACTTCAGCTGGCACAAAATTGTGTAATGACAGCCAGCTACACTACGTCTGAGGATTCATGCTGACAACTGTTTATCCTTTAACTTTCCCTTTACCACCTGCATGAGGTTGACATTTATGTTTTGAGTGAAGTGACTCAACATTATGGGTGAATGAAATTTGATGCCCACATTTATGTCTCCCTAAGGATCTATTATTATCTCTGCTGAACAGCTGAGCCATTCTCAGCCAAAATTGTTATTTGCACTGCTATTTTGCACAATGTACATATGTATTTTCTGCTCAAATGTTATATTTGTCTTATTATCTTGTTTTATTTATTATTGTTATTATTATTATTTATTGTATTTTATTTTTTTTCTTTTCTTTCTGTAGTTATTTTATTTTATTCCTTTATTTTCCTATTTCGATTATTCTTTGTCACTCCTAGGGCGACACCAACAGCCGAAACCAAATTCCTTGTATGTTGTGTACGTACTTGGCCATTAAAGCTGATTCTGATTCTGACTCTGATTCTGATTTTTTTTTTTTTTAAAACTACAAGAAAGGGTAATGTAAAAATAATTTGGAAAATAATGGACACATTTGCTTATTTAACCAACAAGTCTATGTTTTTAAATTACTACAAACAAAATAATAATTGCAATATAAAGGGAGTATCTGTAATATATGCTAATTTTATAACGGTATTTTACATGTTCTACATTTTTCACTACTTTTTAGGTGAATTCCTTTTTTTTCTATACAAAACACATGGAAATGTACAATTACAGGCATTCAATGATGTTTTACATTAGATATAAACATTCTATTATTTGTCTTTTTTTCAATTTTAATGATATCTTTATGCATTTCAAAAATTTGGTGGAAAAATTCTGTAAAACTAGAGTTTTTTTTTTTCATTTAATATTATTTTTCAACAGTGTTCTGCTTGCATGCATTGCTACAGTGCAATATGTTAATTAGTTCAATATTAGTTCAATAAAATACTGTGCTGCCTGACAGTCCTGCTAGCATCGCTGTTTTGGGAACATTTGTAATCAATCGGCCTTCATAAGAAACTGATTGAATCAAGTTTCTCATGCATCCCTTTGGAGAACATTTTTCAATCTTTGACCACTGACGAACTGTAAAAAATGCTGAATTATGGATCCTTGTTTTATGTGCATTGCATTCAGGTCATCCTTATTAAAGAGAGCTCGCTCTCAATGGCCCTCCTTGATTTTAAAAAGAAAAGGTTGAAGAAGAATGAGTCACTTCCATTTAAACTTATTAAATTATGTTGTATTTCCATCAGATTGTGAAAGGACTGAACCCAGTTCATCTGCCTATTTATCATATGAATTAGGTTCAAAGTACAAGAGCACAAGAGCACTGGATGTATGCAATAGCAATTCATGCAAAATAGCAAATACCTACAAGGAATCAGAAGCCAATTGCTTATTCCTTATGAGTTAGGCTTCCCACAGCTTAGAAGTCAGGAGTTACTGGAAAAAAACCTGTGCTTTGTAAATGCCGCCGCCTGCAGTAAACAATATTACTTCTTACCTGACGCATGGAGCAATTTTCCTAAAGATTTCACTGAAATTGCTTTTTTAGATACAGCATTCTGCTAAGTGACAGATAAAGAGACATATTGAGGTAATTAAAGAGTCTTAGCTCTTTGCCTATACTGCAGGAGGTTCTTTTTTTTTTTTTTACCTCTGCGAAGTATCCCTTAGACAAAGTATCACGCATGTACAAGCACAAAAACATACGCACGCACTCGCACATGCACGAGCTGTCGACGGTGAGAAAATGAGCTGAATCATGCTTACAGGCGCAGAGGATAGAAACAATGTCAACTGTGAAAAGCAAGAAATAATCACCTGCAGACTCATTACTCAGTGCTACGTGATTTCACAGAGCCTTGGAGGATAAACAGCTTGAGGAAGATCACTAACTCAAAAGGTTTAACCTCTGAAATCTGGTATATCATATCAATTAAATTGCTTGAACTACCCTCCCCTCCCCTCCACACACACACACAGACACACACACACCTACACACACACACACACAGAAGTGTGAGCACAAACACAGGGAATCATCATGTATGACACTTGACATTGATGTGACTTACTTTTTGTCCTTTCATCCCGCCGGTCCCCTCGGCACCTGGCTGACCCTGTGGGAGGAGGCCTTGGTTAATGACTCTGTAACACAGCGGCACTGTAAATGTCACTGCTGGAAAATACATACAGGATCTCCTCGCTCTCCTTTCTCCCCCGGGACTCCAGACTCACCCTTCTCCCCCTGTATGCGAACAGAGCAGATCATTGACAGTGACTGACGGCAAAGGCAGGGCGAGAAGACAGAAAGCTCTGAGAGTGAAACTTAGGCAAGGACAGCTCGCATGAATAAGTAATCGGAAAAACATACAGCAGCGTATCATGTCAGAATCAAACTAGTTTGTAATTACGGAAAGGGGGGGGGATGACAGTGAAACTCGTGGATTTGCAAATGTGTGGTGGTAGAAATGAAAAACTTTAAACTCTGTTGCATTGCAGCAGTTATCCGTGTTTCCTTATTCAAATCATTCCCTCGTCTGCCAACAGATGGCACTTCATGACTGCTGCTGAGCTGTCCTGAGAGTGTTTTAACAGGATTTCTCCCTGCCAGTTATGTGGAGAATGCTCTAAGTAAACATAACTGTAAGACAAATGTACTTTCGTCAGGACAGACAATGAATGAATAATTTGTCATCACACACACACACACATACACTCGCACACAAGAGAACTCGCTTTCTCGCAAATAATACCGCATACATTTCCCACCCTCTTGTGACCTTTCACGCTCCTGTTTCTGACATCACACAAGGTCTCGGGCAACAGCTACATGGAATCTCAGTTATTATTTCAGCCACGTGGCAGGCGTGTGGCAGATATTTAACCACCCGGACTTAGAGAAATGCATTGTTTTTAGGTCCCCTGTCGTATCTAATGAATCTCACCTGTGATGCTTTACTTTCTTCTCCAAACAGCAACACACACACACACAAAAAACCAGGCTGTTCATCAAAGATTATTGTTGTTTCGTATGACATGTGCGAAGATTTATGGGGATCGCTTCAGACACTCTGCGCTCAGACATTATGGAGCATCTGTTTAGCAATCTGAGACAACTGAGCGACATCTGAGAAAGGTTGCAGCATATTTGCACACTCCTTAGCGACGCCTGGACTCTAACGCACAATAACTGCCATTCAGCTTTCGGGGCCCCTCCCCCCAGTTCCCTCGACTCGCTAATGACAGCCTCTGCAATACCATTCATTTAATGAGATATAGTCACTGTTTCCTCATCCAAATTAGGAGCTGTTATTAAGTCAGTAGACTGCTGCCACGTATGAACAGATGGATTGTCTTATTAATATTTTAGGCGGGGAGGAGAGACTAGTGGCAAAACTGACTTTGAGTGCTAATTGAATTCTCTGCAGCTTTATCAGCCACACGGAAACTCATGATTTTACCATCATGATCTGAGACGAAAATCAACTATTATAATTGCTGTCATGCTATCAATCACAAGCCTGAGAAAAAAAAGAAGGCCGGTAGCGGTTTGATGCAACTGTTCAAATTATACTGTACACAGAAAACGATTATCCATTGTTCAGGGGTAGTTTTCACACAGGGACGACTGAGATTCCATGCAAGTTTCTGCACAGCTGATTGAAAGTCTTGGATAACACTTGTCGTGAAAAGGTTCCTAAAATGCGCGTTGGCATAGATTCTTGGAAAAGAAATATATTTCCGTCCTTATCTTTGTTAGATCTGCATGGGAGATCATTCAAAGTCAATTTATTGGCAGAGGACTATGTAACAAGTTAATAAACCTTTCAAATGAGATTAACTGTAGCACGGCCAGTATTTATGTTGATTATCCCTATATTTACACAATGGGAAAGCCCCAGAGTGTATAGAGCAGGGCACGGCTCCACCTGTGGAGATCTGCGGATGATATGTTGACTTTGAGCCACCTCGAGTCATCAAACTGCAATTAAGACTGTCTGCATCTCTCGCTCCATCAATATCTGCAGTGCTCTGTCAGAGCCCATTTGCGACTGTCAGTGGGTGACACAGTTATGGATATGTAATTCATGAGAACACCGTCTTCCCGGCACATCATGCACTGAAGACCTTCTTTCTTTTTTACTTTAAAACATTCACACTCGGCTGGGTGAACGAGAGGGGGGCTCGGCTCGCGCAGATGTTACACAAGCTGCAGTTTAGTCTAACTTGCGTCTATTTTGTCCGAGCTAAAAAATGCACAAGGATGGCACTGAGAAGTACGACGAAATCCCTGATGCTGTTCAATAATTACTGCTCATGAAAACTGGTACTTTCCGTTCCTCTCGGAAGGTGTGATAGTTTCTCTTCTCGCACTTATCATGCCGGCTGGTGTAAATTCCTGTAAATGCATGGCCATACTTGTTACATTATGGCATGTTTAAATGTGAAGTGGTTCTCGGGGACACAAGTTTTCTTGTCGTCCACAGGAAGCATGAATTTATAATGATGAAGTGAAGATGTATCCGTAATGTGGGGGCATGACTGATTTATGGCAGGGGCAAGGCTGGCATGCACATTTAATGCACGAAAAGGAGCACAGGAACAATGTCTCGACTAGCAGCTACATGCGCTGAAGGTCTTCTAACGAGTGTGTTTATCATGTTCTTTAATCATAATGTTACATTTAATTCAGTCTCAAATGGGTAGCTTTAGCCTCCTGAAGGCCTCGTCATCAGTAGGTGTAACTCCGTCCTTCATTAGAATTCATTTGAATGTTTTATGTTAGTGAGTCAGCAGGTCAACTTTTATGGACTCTTGTAAACTTGAAGAGAGACTATTACACAGTAATTATTTGGTACTATTACATGGAAATAGCTTTACGCGTCCTTTCCTTCGGTGTGTTGAAACCCTTCAGTCACTTCCTCCTAAGCTCACAGGCTTGGAGATGTTTTCATTTCTGCCACATGAAGTCTGCAGTTTTACGGCTTCGTTTAATGATATAACACCGATTCCAAGATGACAGTAAAGCTGCAACTCAGCAGCCAATTAGAGGAAACTCATGAAAACTTCATCGAGGTAACCTCTGTGTGTCATTTTACTACGCGTGGAAAAACACAATGTCATTTGTCATCTAAACAAAACCGCTGTCCATTGTGCCTCCACCTATAGTGTACCTACTGCAATCCCATTTGTTTCGAGGTATAATAAGTGTGTCCTCTTATAGACAACTTTCTCTTTCAAGGTTGGCCGGCTGACACTTCTCCCTCCTCTGGGCACAGGGAGCAGGAGGAATTCTGTGGCCCGAGCTGACACCACAGCAAACGACGCACCTATACATCAAATGAACAGCTGCGGTCAAGGGGTTGTCCACTGCACAATAGCTTTCACTCTCAACATGATCACAAGTAGGCCACTGGAGGCTTGGTGGGTGGNATATTGCAGCGGTGGATGCAATCTGCTTCTGATATCAGCTTCATAAATCTTACACACATCATGCACATTACACACACACGCACACACACGCACACACACACACACACACACACACACCTTGTTGCACAGAATAGATATTTCCCAGACAGTCCATTGCAAGTTTCTCTTTTAAACTATAATTGAACTCAAGGTTGTCTGAGTGTGTTTTTTTTTTTTTTTTTTTATATCTCATGTGCCTCTGGTGAGCTACAACACCCCTGGGCTTCATGAAAATGATTGCAGACCCTTTTTGGTGGGTGGGTGGGTTTGTGAAAGAAGCACGTTGCAGCAGAGACAGTGGGAGGCCTGGTAGAGGCCCATGTCTGAGTGTGTTTTTTTTTTTTACACTGCATATCTCATGTGCCTCTGGTGAGCTACAACACCCCTGGGCTTCATGAAAATGATTGCAGACCCTTTTTGCAAAAGCACTGTATGTAATGGCCATCTGTCTGTTTGGAGTGCGAGCACTGAGTCACGCTGTGCCGCGCTGCAGGAGGTGCAGGGTGGGAACAGCTATTTAACTTGCACAGTAGATAGGCTACAATTGACTGAAAGGTGCCATTTGCGACGAGGGCTATCTGCTCCTGACTATAAATACAAAAACATGTCAGTCAAGGACAGAGCGGATTTTGCTTCTGGTCACACACGTGTCTGACTTGCCTGCTTCTTGGGACAACTAGTTTGGTACGTCTTTATACAGACGACGCTTCGCAAATGATTAAAGTCCCCCCCTCCACCTATTTGGAGGGCTGCTACAACAAACACTGCTCAGTCATCTTGACAATTTGCTGGAAGTGCATGAAAGGGTGAGTTTATCAAACTGTGAGACAGCTCAGATTTACTTTAAATGCCACACGCCAGTACTTTGTTTTGTGACAAATAACGTTTTAGGTGATACCTTGACACTTGCTCCTTCGGAGGTTCCTAAGGCACCCTGCAAAAAAGACAGAAAGACAATAATATAAATACTCTTGTGAACCGTAAACATGTTATATATATATCATCATTGCGTAACCATCGTAACCCTCCCGTCACTCTTATTTAACTCTCTAAACCACAAGCACTTTTTTGGACATTTTTTAATTCACTCTGGGCTCATCATTTCTTACTGTGATATAAAGTTTTCCACCTCAGTGGTAACAGCATAACCATGGCTAGAAGTGGAGAGAACTCAAAAATGTGTACAGTATGACACAGCTATATTGTCATAAATCATAAAAACCCAAAAAACAACCACTACTGAAAAAAAAAACAAAAAACAAAAAACTGAAATGTGCCAACTAGTGCTGCTAATACTGGAAAAACAATGGTGGCTCTACATACTACAAATGTTTTACTACTTAGATTATTCATCTGTGCCAATACTGCCTGCAGTTCAACCTCAAACCTCTCTGAACTTTTGTCATCTTTAATTATCAATTGTGCCCAGGAATGCAGATTTGTTTTCTGCTTGTACGGAATCTGTTGAGTAGAAATGGTTTATTGCTGGTAAATTTGCAAATGAGAACTATTAGATAAAGTGATTTTGATGAAACATCACAATTTTAAGCTTAGATTTGCATCATTTTCCCAAAAGAACTGCACATGACAAATGAGTTCTTCAATGACTTTCCATTTTTTACAGTTTCTGGCTCTAATAAAGTGTATAATTTTTCATCTTTTAAAGTCTTTCAAAGCAACTGGTAGCTTTTAGGGATCAGGTGGTTAAAATGACAAGTTTACTTGAAAATATCCCTGTTTGCTGCAGCTGTATGATATTTTCAAACCTTTGCACTAATGTTAGCTGTCAAAAAGACATGACCAGACTCCAGTAGTTTGCAGATAATCTTTGAGTGTGTCTTTGTTATGTGCCTTTCACAGACTCCCCTGTTGTTGTGAAATGCTAATTTGACTTTGAAAAATAACTGCTGCCCCCTCGACTGCATGCACCGTCCTGCTGCCAATGGACAAGAGAGAGTGATGCCCTGGAGTGTGTTTTGAATAGATGATTTTGCCCCTGAGATCTACCTCAGCAAAACAGGTGACTCATAAATGCCAATACCAGGGGATGGAAGCAAATCTGGCACATGCGAAGGGTATCATCAGGACATTGCCATTTAGAAATGTCACACCTTCTCCATCCTGTCTTTCTTCTCTCCTACGAGTTTGTGTCCTACAACTTTATGAGTTATTATGGAAGCAGAGGATGCACTGAGTCATGTGGGAGAGGGTTTACCAGCGAGCGGCTCGATTATACTGAAGATAATTAAACCTGAGCACTGGGTGATAGAAGCAAAACAGAATCTTTCTTGATATCTGGACGGAATAAAGTAAGACAACCACTATGTCCTGATCAAGAGCGTGATCAGGGCAATCGTGCATGAAAATAATTGGACACCCAAAGCAGCTGAGCTACATGATGTCTAAACGCTCCTCTTTGTCCTGATACCAGAGCAGTTAAGAGTCTGACAAGCTGTCTGCTTTAACGCATAGTGGTGTTTGTGCCCTTCAGCGAGTGGGTCACTACACAAATACACAAACAGTGTCTGGGATTGGTTTGGACGCCTTAGGAAAAGACCATAATTCAAGGAGTCAATGGACCCTCTAGGCAGACTTGTCCTACTCATCAATACAAACATTTTAAAGTGCTACCTTAATATACCCCTTGTGGTTTTGTGCTGATAATATAGCCTGTTTGGAGCAGCACGGGAGTACTGCAGAAGATTTTGAGCAGATCGATACGGCCTAAACATGAAATTAGTTAACATAGATGCTTCACCCCGAAGAGCGTAATTGCTCTTCTTCAGACAGACTCCGTATTAGGCGTCTGCTGTCCTCACCGACTGTTTGCTTTAATATGCTTTTGTAATTACGGTAACTTTGCAACTTTGATGTCAGTGGGAAAAAAAAAGATATTGGTAGTCTCAGGGGAATTATTGGTCAAATAAAGGTTGAGCTCAAATCTGAACGGTGGGAAGCCAGAATTTAAAGCAGTGCCGTATCGAACCGCCTGAAGTAAGTTTTCAGTGTTTTTTATTGGGTTTCATTTGCAAACAAACCAGACATGTAGATCAAAACACTAATGATTTATTATGTTGAGAGTGATGCAAAAAAAACTAGAAGATACAGTGTGCTGTTTTTATCCAGTGGTACTCTAGGTCTTGATGTTTTATTTAAAATGAAAAAAAAAAAAAAAAAGTGTTTCTCGGATTATAGCGTATCACTTACAGGCAGGCCTCTGAGTCCTGGCTCCCCAGTCTTTCCTCTCCGTCCCTAAGGGAAGCACCAAAAGAAGAAGGGGAAAAAAAAAAGAGACTTAGATGAGTGAATGAGCAACAACAGGTGTGGCTGGGCACGCATGCTGCCAGCAATTAAGGCAAGACAACAACTCCTGTCGCAGCCTCTAATTTGCTTTTAATTAACAACAAGAAAACAGCTTAATTGCTGCACCCTGTGTGGCCCACTACTCTTTGTTCCCTCCTTTGGTTTACTGCCTCCTTTCCAGCTGTGTGAGTCCCTCGGCACATCAATCAAGCCAAGGAGCACGTATACTGTAGGGGCAAGCGTGGCGAACCAGCCGGTACTGTCCGGTAAAGCGAAAACGACGTCGGATTGAAGCCACCGTGTTGAAACTGTTTTGTTTTTGAGTTTTGTTGTTTTTTTATTGTGGGGGGGAGATTTTGTGAAAGCGCTAAAAGTCTGTAAAGACTTGAAAAGCTGACATCTTAATGAGATGTAATGCAATCTGAACCAAACCAAAGTTGGTATAATTTACATCAAGAGGGGTTTATGTCCTCGTGAGAAAAGAGGATAAAGCTCTGTGGATATCCGCGCAGCTATCCACTGGCAGAGCATCACTGGCTCTCTGTTGAGAAGTGCCTGGAATTAGCTGGCTTGCCCACACACATGCACACACAAGACAGATGTAAAATCAACTCAATTAGGAGATGGCAATACTCTGGCCACTATCAATTCACTATACAGCAGCGTAATCAAGGGCATGAGCACGAGACAATGCAGATATCTGTATCACGGCTAAATACGATTACCTCCTTCTAGTGTGAGTTTCATCATCTGACACAAATGCCTTATTGAAACATTGTGGTTCTCTCCTACTGTATGTGTCAGTATGGGTGATACAAAAAAACACCGCCTTCCTCCGAGTCGGTGGCTGTGGAGATCTGTGGAGAGGAAAGGCTCACTGGCTGCTGAAAGAAAAGTTGCAAATCACAAAGCAACGCCCCCGACTCTTCCCTCTGACACTCCATGTGTGCAGACTTTGATTAACTGGGTCGAATTTGACATGTACGTTTGCCTGCAACAAAGACAAAGGAAGGAAACTTCACTAAGAGCTATTGCTTTTAATCATCTGTTTGCATGTGCGCCCGTGCTCGCTCGTGTTTCCGTGTTTGTAGTCCGCAGATTACAGGATTATGAAAAGAGGAGAAGCAAAGGTGCAGTACAGTAAATATTAACCTTAATAATGACACAATAGAGCCAGTGTGTGCCTCCTCTCAGGAATTGCATGCTTTCCTCTGTTCGCGTTGTTTGATGTACCAACAAAGCCTTGGCCAGCGTCTTTTGATCATCTGTGTTAATGCAACTCTGAGGCTCCTGTATATGGGCTTTAATGTAAGCATGAATGAGTGCAACACAGAGGAGAGTTGGAAGGAGTCAAATTGCCTTGATGTGTTGGGACAGCATCTTCAAACCTTAAAATCCTTTGCTTCAAATGACTGAGATTATATTACTTTGGAACAGCTTCTTTGAAACGTAATTGAGGCTGGTTACCTTTGTGGCACAAACAGAGCAGTCAGAGCGGGAGAATTCGGCGCCCGTGCCCGCCCGAGGACGCTCATATGTAGATTTCGACTCGTTTTTAAAAGGTCGATTCCTCACAAGACAGCGTTTTTTTTTTTTTTGGTGAGGGTAGATGCTGTTTTTTTTTTTGTCTTCCACTTATAATTAATAGGCTGCCACTGAATCACTGCTACGTTTGCAAAAAGATCAGCCTGTTTGTTCTAGCCTTAGTCCCGTCTGCTTGCCCTTTCCCCTCTAAACACAACAACAAAAGCAGATTACACAGATAAGTAATTAAGCTAATGAATATTTCATATGCTATTATTCCAAGTAGGTCATGAATTATGCAGTTTTCAAAATTATTTCTCCACATTTGCCATTAAATCTCTTTTAACTCCAAAGTACATACTAATTTTATGTCCATGTATTTGCATATCATCAAAATAAATAGTGGTACTCTAGATCTCAGTTTCTCATCAAGTGGGAGGCCCGAGGCTTACTTGCACTGTTACCAACAAGTTCTATAATGGTTTTTAATAAGGTGGTATGAGTGTATCTATGACTTTACTTTCATATAAATTCCCTTTAAATACAACTCTGTCATACCTTCTGGTCACAAAAAGGGATACTATTACTGCTTTTATTACGTGTAGTCTCACTGGATTTATACTCACTTGCTGGTTTATGGCACACCTACCTGAAACTAGCGGTACTGTGACAAAATACAACAAAAAAAAATCATACCTTTGTGAAGATTCTAATGAGCTGTGGATTGTATTGTATTATGCTGAGAGGTCTGTCTAATATTTAGTCCAAACAGGCTGGACACAGCTATCAGTATTAGCTGTGTATCTGCTCGAGCTGTGTGCAGATAAACTCAGCTGGGGGTGTCTATGCTGGAAGTCCGTGTCTGATTTTTTTTCCCCTGCTTTGATAACATATTAATATTCATCCAGTATTTAGAAACGCAGACAGCTCAGACAATCATTTTCCGCAACAAAGCGATCCATGAAAGTGACGACATCGTGTGACCTTGGGGTGAGACTGACTCTTCTCTGTCCAGAGGACCTCTGGTTAGCATGCTATCCCCAACAAATCTGTGCACAGTGACAAGAAATAATTAGTCCGGAGCACAGCTGTCATCGCCGTTTGCACTCAGTTGACTCTCCGAACCGAAACACCTGCCAGGGACAAGGCGAGATAACCACCTCTAAAGGGACAGGCTGGCTCTGGAACGTAGAGATAATCACGATACTAACAACCACTGTAGTGCTCACCAGCATCCAAATACTACAGCAACAGATGCTCTGTTCTGGAAGTTAAGCCTTTAGCACAAGGGTGAAGTGTTTCAGAGGATTAACTCAGGGAATTAAGTTGAGTTCTATGTTTATGGCGTTTTAATGATTTGATCAGCTCTAAATGTCACAACTGGACCTCAAAACTTTTGCAAAAGTGATACTCTGACTGTTTGAACTGAGGTCATTTCAAAAACTAGCCTTGGTAGCAGCACTTTTATATCCATTTCTACAAGAGCAGACTGTTAACAGTGTCAATATCTAGTTTTTCTAAATGGACAAAAACCTCATTTTGCATACTCAGCTTTTGCACAATTGAATCATGCTTTGTTTTACTCTTGCATGTACACTTGTCCAGCCACAATATCAAAGCCGGCTGCCAAATATTGTGTTTGCGCCTCAGAGCAAAGAAACTGAGCTTCAGGAGGTGTGTTGTGATTTCTAGCACCAGAACTTTAACACTGGATCTTTTGGGTTCTGTGAGATGGGCCCTCTGTAGATCAGGCTTGTTCGACTGATCTCACAGATGCTAGATCGAATTGGGAACCAAGTCAACATGTTGAGCTCTTTGTCATGTTCCTCGAGCAGTTCCCAAGCAGTTTTTGCTGATTGTTGAGGGGAATCGTTCTGCTGGGAGAGGCCACTGCCAGAGTGGTGCTGTTTTGGTGTGTAGTGATGTTTAGCTGGGTGTTTGAAATACCATCCACATGAATACCAGAACCCAAGGTTTCCCAACAGGACTACTGCACTGTAAGGAGATAATCAATGCTATTTACTTCACCTGTCAGTGGTTTTGATGTTGTGGCTGATTGGTGGCAAACAGTAGCATTTAAGTGAAATTGGGGCATTCAGTGTTAAAGACCATTTACATTAGTGAGATAATGAATGGCCGATTCTGCTCTAGAAAGACCTCATTAGTTAGTTAGTGTCAGACACCACACACAAAGAAAGCTGTGTTTTACCTAAAAAAATAAAAAATTAAAATAAAAAATGTACAATTTGCCCTCAGAGAGCAGTGAGGATACATTTGATTCTATAAATAACTCAGTATGTTGCTGCCATTGTCCAAAGTAGAGGCATTTAAATTGTAATAGTTGTTAAGTTGGGCTGCAAGGTGGATCAGTGGTTAGCACCGTTGCCTCGCAACAAGAAGGTTCGCCAGTTCACGTCCCAGTGGGGACATCCGGGATCTTTCTGCGTGGAGTTTGCATGTTCTCCCCGTGCAGCATGGGTTCTCTCCGGGTTCCCCGGCTTCCTCCCATACAGTACATAAACATGCTGAGGTTAATTGGTGATTCTAAATTGTCCGTAGGTGTGAATGTGAGTGTGCTTGGTTGTCTGTCTCTAAGTGTAGCCCTGTGATAGACTGGTGACCTGTCCAGGGTGTCCCCTGCCTTCGCTCTAACTCAGCTGGGATAGTATCCAGCCCCCCGTGACCCTAGTGAGGATTAAGCGGTGTGTAGATAATGGATGGATAGTTCTCAAGTTTAAAGGTATATGCTCATCAAATCTGCTCATTTCCCCAAAGCAAAGTCCAGGAATTCCATTACTTTATTCAAAGCTTTGTTGTAATTTCTTCTGGTATTTTGAAGACCAGCAGAGATATAAATGTCAGAGGTGAACTGGAGTCCAAAGCCCAAAGCAGTCTCTAAGCAACAAGGAAGAACAATGAACACCAACTGAGGATTTTAAGTTAGATAAAAATGAGACAGAAAGAAAAAAAAATAAATCTTAGTGAAAAAAACAACTGTGTGGTGACAGAATAAAACAAAACTAAATAACATTTTTACTTTTAGACTGATCACCACCTGTGTACGCCAAAATGCCATAGAAAAATATGTCAACATGGCGATAAATTTAAATTCAACAGAATGGCATGCACACAAGACCAGCCAGCAGCGTCTGTGAAGCTTTTCTCTCAGCTAAGCCAGCCTTAACTTTCTCATTTCCTTTTGTGTTTCTCCATCACTCATTTATCTCTCCCTTTGTGTATAGCATAATTCTATTACTCTCATCTCATCCCTCTCTCCTGTCTCCTGCTCTTCTCGTCATCTCTCCTTCCTTCTCCTGTCTCCTGTCACTCGCCCCGTTTCTCCCTCACCCAACTTCCAGCGCCTGTTGGATCACCCTGGCAATCTCTGTTGCTATGCAACGCTCAGTGTCCTATAAATTTGACAA